AATAAGGAGCAATGGCTTCGAGCTCAACAAGTCACACTGAAGAATGGAAAATATTAGTTTTCACCCATAGAATTATAACGTTGTGGAAACGCATACCCGCCGATGTCGTAAATACCAAAACATTGCTTGATAAAATCCCCAAAACAAATGGGAGGGGCCTTCGACAAGCCAGATCGACAACCTTCCTGTCCTCGTCGCCACCACTAGAGAGAGATGCCTGAATTTGCCCGAGGGCCGCCCTCGAGTAAATTCAGGGAAACCATGGAACCACCTACCCGACGAAGCCGTAAATGATTAAACATTGCTCGATAAAATCACCAGGGCAAATATTATTTATTTATTTATATACAAGAAGGTACATTGGGTTTGTGAGGATACATAGCGTGGTATTTACATTCTTATAAAGCCACTAGTACGCGCAGCGTTTCGGCCAGATATAGGGGACTTTTGACAAGCCGCCAGCTTCCTATCCTCACTGAGAGATAGCGACCCCTCTGGTAAATTCAGGTAAATCTTAGCTAATTAAATAATCCTGGAATTCAAAATTCCACTACGCCACGGAGCAGTCTCTGTGGCGCAGTGGTAAGCATGCGACAGGCTCTTCGCCAGCGCTGTGACCTGCCGGCCGGGAAGGCTTGACCGGCCGACAATCCTTAACTGTTTACCCGGCAGAGAATTGGTTGTTAAACGATTAGCCGGGTCGTTTTCCGGGGAAAAATATTAATATTAAGGACCTGCCTGAAACACTATGCATGCTAGTGGCTTTACAAGAATTTAAGAACTCTTTTTTTTTATATAAAAAGAGTTCTTAAATAAAAAAATATAAAAAATCCGATAACGAATCTTCCTGTGTGCGCTGAGACTTGTATCTGGCATAATTAAAATATTAACCTAAATAATTCGTTTGTTAAACAATATATGATATTCAAATCTATAAATTACTTTAGAAAGGCCTATAATGCATATAAATATTAATTTACACAATCTTGACGCTATATACGCTTGGAATTTCAATATGGCGTTCAAATAATTTTAGGCAGGGGGTCTCTGGGTCGGTTGGACGCTACGGGGTCACTGACGGCGACCCGGTCAGTCGTCAGGAAGCAGCGGCGGCGTGAGTATGTCGCTCCCGTGTAGGTAAGGCTGATACTTTTTTTTTTTTTTGCTATCTGAGCAGTTGGGAGGTACACATGAATATATAGTCTACCTCCACCTACAATGCTTAATGCATTATACATTTGTTCGCTATTATAACATTGAAATTTTTGTAATGTCTTCGAGGGTCATTCCGTATTTTTTTTTTCATCGGGGTTCTGTAGTATTCAAAAGTTTGTATTACACTAATGCTAAATAGTCTGTCCCTCTCTCGGATATTGTGGAAGATTTTGAGGATCTTGATTTGCCAACATTATATGGGTAGGATATTATGTAGAATGCACTTCCCCATAGTGTTAAACCACCCCGTCGTCAGGCTAGGCTCGTTAACGCGGCAGTCTAGCCCCCCCCCTTCCCAAGACGCTTTTTTTTTTTTTTAGATATATACAAGAATTGTTACATTCTTGTAGAGCCACTAGTACGCGTAGCGTTTCGGGCAGGTCCCTGGAATACGATCCCCTGCCGCGAAGAATCGTTGTTACAACCAAGTACACATTTTACTGTTGCGTTAAACAGAGGCTACAGTTAAGGATTTATTTTTATTAAGTCATTTATTATCGACTTTCACGTACTGTGTATTAAAAATAGTTTTTATCGCGTATAAATTAATTTTATATTCTGTTTAATTAGGCGTATAGTAGGTTCGGTATTTAGGTTCTGTTGGTAATTATTTGCACTTGAAGTATGTGGCGGGTGAAGCATTCACAGTTGCCTGTCCTCAGGCCAGGCTCGCCTGCGCCGCCGCCCGACCCGCGTTCGTCAATTTTATCATGCTGCGTATTCAGAATTATTCTCGCGTATTAGGTAATATTATTTCATCAAGTTAACACTTTCGCGCACCCCGCAACTATGCGTAGTGGGTCCCAGCGTTTCACGGAAGCGCGCGTTAATAGTTTTAAAACTAAGTTTAGTGACAAGCAACAGTTCTGTGTACAAATACTGGAATAGATGAACAATTTCCCAACAGGAAGGAGCGGGGACACCTCTCCAGGAACTGAATTTACCCGAGGGCCACTAACACTAGTGGCCTAGATGAGGACAGAAATCCGGCGGCTTGTCAAAGGGCCCCCCATTTGTCCTAATCTTTTCCAGCTGTATTTTAAAACTCATAAGACTTTCGGCGTTTACGACTTCGGCGGGTAGGCGGTTCCGCGGGTTTACAACCCTATGGGTAAAAAAAACATCTGTTTCCTGTCCAACATTCTGGCTTGAGTTTGAACCTGTTGCTCCTTGTTCGCGTAACATCTGAACTTTAGAAGACATTGTTTTTGGTCGACATCCTCCAAATTGTTTAGTATTTTAAAGGTTTCTATGAAGTCCGCCCTGTTATGCCTGGTTTGTGGTGGTGTTAGCCCTGTGGCCCTCAACCGTTCCTGATACGAGAGATGACTATGGTATGATTTTTGTCGTAAGACATTACTCCATAGCTCTGGTAAGACATGGCTCCAGAGCAGCTATGTCTTTCTGAAGATGTCTCCATGCCTGGGTGCAATAATTCATGTGGGGGCGTACCAGGAACTTATACAATTGAAGGTCTACTTTCTTTTCCTTGAAGGTAAAGGAACGCATGATTATTCCCAGGGTTTGGTTTGCTTTTCACTGCCGTTCCCACTTGTTGTACAACTGTCAGTGATTGGTGGATTCTGACTCCAAGATAATGTTGATGATTTGGTAGTTGTGCCTCACATGATGGATTCTAACTCTAAGGTGCTTTTCTTCATCTACCTATTGAAAGGTAGTGCTGTCAATTTGGTAGATGTGACGTGGATTGTTTTGCCCCATATGCAAGGTCTTGCATTTATCGACATTAAAAAGTCATCTGACCATTTGTGGAGTTCATGTAGAACTCAATGTACGGTTTCAATATGGCTTTCACTTCCCAGTTTACCATAGATCTTAGTGTCATCTGTAAATTTGATGTGGTTTGTAATATTCTCATCTGTCATTGATGTTTGACAAAAAGGGTTGGTCTCAAAATGGACCGCTGTGGCACCCCACTTAGCACATTGGTGGGAGGTTGGGTGAGATATTTGCTTGTTAGGCTTGCGATTACACAACTGGTCGGGCTCCGGGGGTGTGACTTGTTGGGCTTCTAGTTGTTCGTGGTCGGGCTCCGATTCGTGCATGGTTGTACTCCAGGGGTTGTTTGTGTTCTAGTGCTCCAGGTTTGTTTGCTAGGCGTCCATGGTTGTATGTTTGCTAGAAATCCGGGTTTCTTTTTTCGTACAGAGCTCAATTTTTGTTTGCTATGGCGCCATAGTTGCTTTCTAGGGCAAGTGGAGGGTTTTAGGTAGGGCTAAGGGAGTGTTTGTTTGGCAGAGCTAGGAATGGAGTTTGGTTGGACTCTGGGGCTGTTTGTTGAGCTTGGTGGAGGTGGGATAAGATGTATACTCGCTAGGCTTGAGGTTACACAACTGGTCGGGGTCCGGTTACACAACTGGTGGGGCTTCGGTTACACAACTGGTCGGGCTCCGGTTAACTAACTGGTCGGGCTCCGGTTAAATAACTGGTCGGGCTCCGGTTACTTAACTGGTCGGGCTCCGGGGGTGTCACTTGGGCTAAGGGTTGTGCATGATCGGGCTTCGGTTCGTGCATAGTTGTGCTTCAGATGATGTTTGGTCGGTTCGTTCATGCTAGGCTTGCGGTTACACAACTGGTCGGGGTCTGGTTACGCAACTGGTCGGGGTCTGGTTACGCAACTGGTCGGGGTCTGGTTACGCAACTGGTCGGGTTCCAGTTAAACTGGTCGGGTTCCAGTTAAACTGGTCGGGTTCCAGTTAAACTGGTCGGGTTCCAGTTACTCAACTGGTCGGGTTCCAGTTACTCAACTGGTCGGGTTCCAGTTACTCAACAGGTCGGGCTCCAGTTACTCAACAGGTCAGGTTCCAGTTACTCAACTGGTCGGGTTCCAGTTACACAACTCGTCGGGCTTCGGTTCGTTCATGCTAGGCTTGCAGTTACACAACTGGTCGGGGTCCGGTTACACAACTGGTGGGGCTTCGGTTACACAACTGGTCGGGGTCCGGTTACACAACTGGTGGGGCTTCGGTTACACAACTGGTCGGGCTCCGGTTACACAACTGGTCGGGCTCCGGGGGTGTCACTTGGGCTAAGGGTTGTGCATGGTCGGGCTTCGGTTCGTGCATGGTTGTGCTTCAGATGTTGTTTGTTCGGTTCGTTCATGCTAGGTTTACGGTCACACAACTGGTCGGGGTCTAGTTACACAACTGGTCGGGCTATGGGGGTGTCACTTGGGCTTCGGGTTGTGCATGGTCGGGCTTCGGGTTGTGCATGGTCGGGCTTCGGGTTGTGCATGGTCGGGCTTCGGTACCTGCATTGTTGTGCTTCAGTTGTTGTTTGTTCGGTTCGTTCATTCTAGGCTTGTGGTTACACAACCAGTGGGGCTTTGGTTACACAACTGGTCGGGGTCTGGTTACTTAACTGGTCGGGCTCCGGTTACTTAACTGGTCGGGCTCCGGGGGTGTCACTCGGGCTAAGGGTTGTGCATGATCGGGCTTCGGTTCGTGCATGGTTGTGTTTTACAGGTTTTGTTCGGTTCGTTCATGCTAGATTTACTGGTTACACAACTGGTCGGGGTCTGCTTACACAACTGGTCGGGGTCTGCTTACACAACTGGTCGGACTATGGGGTGCACAATAAACTACCCCTCAATGGTTGAATAGAGGATGCTTAATGAACTATCTACCTCTGGCGGCAAAAAATCAATGAGATTATATATATTTATTGCGCTACTCTTATTACAAATTCGCTACTTTTTAGTCCATCAGCTCGCTACTTTCAGTAATTTGGAACTGGCAACCCTGGAGTATTGGGAGAGGGTCAGTTGTCTGAGAGACGTGAGAGGGTGAGGACGCTCGCTCTGGTCCTCTCCACGCTTGTGTTAGTCGTCTTTTTACCTCTTTCATTGGTCATCAGTTTCGGGAGATTATTGTTACCAGTTTGTCATGGGGGAAAACGCGGCGTCGAGCGGCACCTTGGTGTTTTTCGTGAATGGAAAGAAGGTAAGCCGTGAGGTTGATCAATTCCTAGTCGTTCGTGTGATGGATAGAAGGGGCTAGGTGGTAGTGTAGCATTATCAAGATATGGGTACAACCTGTCCCCCCCCAGTCGTGCGTAGGTCCTCCGACATGTTACTGCGCCGTAAAGACAAACTAATTTATTTCCTTACGAATTGATACAATTTTTTTGCCTATTATAGTCCTAAGTTTATATTTTTTGGTTCTCAATTATTTTAATGTCCAGAAAGTGTAGAGAATGTCCCAATTAATGAGTGAAAGGCCTGGTTAACTAGACGACATAGATATAATGGTAAAAGGAAAGTGGTGTAGGTGCAAGGGCTTAACCACCGCTGACCCAATAGCCTTGTCGTCCTCACGCGACAATCTTGAGCAACTATATACACCTGACTGTGCAATTGTAGACCTTATAAGTCAGTCTACAACAGTCAGCTGTTTCACTGCAGCTCTCATTCATGATGGTGATTATTGTAGCGAGACGTAGAATCATTGCAACGTTGAAATAGCGTTTGGATTAAACGTCAAACTAACGCCACTTTTGGGTATTATGCCCACTGGGAAAAGTACAAGATACCTAGTGGACACCTGGTATCTCCAAGAGTGGCGTTGATTCGACGTTGCTCCTGGATACTGCGTCTACTAAACGCAGTTTCGCCGTTACTTGGGGAATCGTGAGACTTGGACTTAACTCGAGGCACTCATTGTTTACTTCAACATTATCAACGTCACGCTGACGCTAACGTGACGAGACTCTCAAGTTGTTTACTTGTTTCTAAGACCTGTCAAGAGGCCTCGTACGGCTGGTAACAAACCATCTTGCGTTTCCGACGTCTCCATATTTTCCGAGATTTGTGTCATGACCGGAAATTGGGAACTCCGGTACGGGATTCCCGCTCAGATTCGTCTTTCTGGCGGATAACACGTTTTCTGTTGCTCGGGTTATGAGAAATTCTGATGTGGATATCCAATTATGTCTCCTAGGATCTAAAACCTTTATTGCCACGAATATTATGACGTCTTAATGACGCCACAGGTGAGAGTTGCGAGGAAAAGTTGCCGGAATTGAACCTCTCGTTACTGGAAGACGGTAGAGTTAAGGCATGGCTAGCCACCTTTAAAATTCTCAGATGAATTGACAGGATAGATAAGGACAAAATGATTTAACACGGCTAGTAAACAAGATCGAAACTTAGTACACAAATGAGTCAATGAGACGTTAGAAATGTTGTTCAGTGTCAGAGTAGTTAACAGGAATGTGCCAAGAGGTGGGACCTCTACACACACACACAAGTTTTAACTGGAGATATGGTAACCCAACAGTTGAGTGGCGGGGTTTACGAACAGCTGCTCATTCCCTTCAAGTACAAAGAGGTGTATACAGCAAGGTGAGTACAACCAGATGAGTACATCTAGATGAATACAACCTTATGAGCACAGCTAGACGAGTACAACTAGAGAAGTACAACCAGGCGAGTGGCGCAAGGTTGCCAGTAGTGAGCCAAAAGCGTCGCATGAAACTACCGGACCACCACCACTAACCAGGACACGAAGCGTCTCGTTATGAATACTCGTATTAATGCTCTCGTATAACTTTCGTTATACACCCATCGCTTAAGTTACTGCACAAGAGTGTTGCGAGTGAAAGGCCAGACTATGTATTACAACCTCACGACGGCTGGCAGGGGCGCAGGCGGTAAAAAAAAAAACTTGTCCAGTCAAGGTCTTCAACCCTCTCCACCACTACCCCCATGAAGCCTCGTCTCGTGCATACCCAGTAGGGCGCTCTGGGTACTTCCGTAAACACTGGCTCATGCACTTATCAAGAGATGGGATTCACAGCATGTTTGTTGGGGTTTCTGCTCGTTTCTACGCATATGTGGGGTCGGGGAATGTCAAAAGGTTTAGTTAAGTCATCCCTTGGATGCTCGCTTGAGCACGTTGGATCTTTTACGCATTTGTTCTCGCTCCGTCCTCATCAACTAAGGTTAACTACTCGTTAATCTAGCTGCTCCTGCCCCCCCCTCCCTCTGTTTATGAATGAAGCGCGTTACACACACAACCCGTCCTCAGACCAAGTCCATTCCATCCAGCGGCCGAACCCAAAGACGCACTGCGTATTCGGAAATCGGTTTATTCACGACTCAACTGATTACGTTCGATCACTTCTCGAACAGTGCTTTGCTGATGACCTCTGTTCGAATCGCAACGCTGTAAATGTCCAACAGAATCTACCCCTAACCTAATCAATGCCTAACTACAGGTATACGTGAAACTTTAATATATTACTTTATTAAAAGTTAATATTATTGTTAAAATTTATTAATGCGTCTTGGGGAAGGAAGGGGGCGCACTTGTCGCCTGGGGGGTCACAGCGAAGTGGATAGACTGTTTGGTTTTCTTTTCTGTCCGGTTCTTCGGAACATAAGAACAAAGGCAACTGCAGAAGGCCTATTGGCCCATACGAGGCAGCTCCTATTTATAACCACCCAATCCCACTCATATACTTGTCCAACCTGCGCTTGAAACAATCGAGGGACCCCACCTCCAGCACGTTACGCGGTAATTGGTTCCACAAATCAACAACCCTGTTACTGAAGCAGTATTTACCCATGTCTTTCCTAAATCTAAACTTATCCAATTTATACCCATTGTTTCGTGTTCTGTCTCGTGTTGATACTTTTAATCACGGAGAGACGGTGTCCGGCGCCAGCTTGGCCAAGCCCTGAGGCTGGCCAAGCCCTGGGGTTGGTGGACTCCTGGTGCGCCCTGAGTGTGGGGGCAGCGTCGGCTGGCCTGTGCTCTGATCGAGGGCACTGGAAGTTGTTTTGCATAGTTGCTGAGTGGGCTACGTGCTTAGAAGGGGCCTTGATTGTGACTCCTGTAGGCTCCCCAAACATGTTTTGTCTATGTCTCCGTGGTGTAGTGGTAAGTCTCCGTGGTGTAGTGGTAAGACACTCGCCTGGCGTTCCGCGAGCGCTATGTCATGGGTTCGTATCATGGCCGGGGAGGATTTACTGGGCGCAATTCCTTAACTGTAGCCTCTGTTTAACGCAACAGTAAAATGTGTACTTGGATGAAAAAAAGATTCTTCGCGGCAGGGGATCGTATTCCAGGGACCATAGGATTAAGGACTTGCCCGAAACGCTACGTGTACTAGTGGCTGTACAAGAATGTAACAACTCTTGTATATCTCAAAAAAAAAAAAGTGTGTGCTGGCAGCCCATCCTTCTGTTTAGTACATATTGTGACGATCGTCGATAGTCACGAATTCGTACGAACTTAGCTTTTACATAGTAGTATACTGACTAGTACGGGATTTTTAAAATGCATGAAGCTGAAAAACGAACTTAAATATTCCTAGACCTAGTATAGCACACACATGTACTATATAAGGCCTTCAGATGTAGTGTATTAAGCCTAGGAAGGTTAGGTTAGTCAAAAGCAGCACAAGTCAAAAATAGTTCTCCAGTTTGTCCAACTCAATAGTTCAGATTTCTACTTTCTAAACTTTCGTTGTAGGTCGGTATATATGCTATGGTCCTCATCGTTGCTATAAGTACGACCAAAACAGGAGGATGGGCTGATGTATTCGCTGCAAGGCGTGTTCGTTTCCCCCCCCCCCCAACAGACGACGTTAATATAGTCGTCACAGTATGTTTGCTCCCTCTCACAGGATCTTAGCATGACCATTCATGACACAGCACTTGAAATACAGACGAGGAGTCACAACAACGGAGCTGAAGATACGTCCAAACCATATATCAGAAGACGACGACGACGACGTGTCGGCCCGTCCTGGACCCCTATCAAGTCTTGTAAAAAGGGTCCATACAATACGTCCAAACCATATATCAGAAGACGACGACGTGTCGGTCCGTCCTGGACCCCTATCAAGTCTTGTAAAAAGGGTCCATACAATACGTCCAAACCATATATCAGAAGACGACGACGACGACGTGTCGGTCCGTCCTGGACCCCTATCAAGTCTTGTAAAAAGGGTCCATACAATACGTCCAAACCATATATCAGAAGACGACGACGACGACGTGTCGGTCCGTCCTGGACCCCTATCAAGTCTTGTAACAATGGTCCAGGACGGACCGAAATGTCGTCGTTTCTTCATTTTCTGATTGTATGATTTGGATAACACTTCGAAAAGTCGGAATAATGCTCCAGAAGTTTGTGTTGACGGCTGTCATGGGTACCATGACCAACTCAACAAACTGAGCGGCGGCGGCGAGGGCCGTCAGTGTGCAGGATGGATCACAATTGATGTAATTGAAGAACCTGGTCATATAGAGAAGGGGTAGAATGTGTGGATGGGGAGGGGGTGAGTTTTGGGGGGGGAAGGGAGGATGGGGAACCTCTACTTGGGTTTACTGAGGTTTCCCCTTCTTTTTACCCACCTAAGGTCAACTACTGACCCTCCCTAAGATGTAACCCCCACAATAGTTGCCCAACTCCCAGGTACCTATTTATTTACTTGGTGAAAAGAGGCATCAGGTGAAAGGAAGGGTGCCCAACCGTTGTAGAACACACACGGTGAGCATCACCTGCTAATTCGGAACTCCGTTAATAGATGGCGCATCGTGTATTAGACTTCCTGCCTGTACTGGAGTTATAATTAAAAAAAAATTTCATTATAATCACTAAAAGAGTATATAATTCTGATTCAAATTTTGGCTGGAAATCGAATACATAATGCGTCACCTACTAACCTTATTTTTCACAAGTGTAACTGGACTGAACAGTTCTTCAGTGTAAATCAAACTTATATTTGTTGACATTAATTGAAATAACTTGAAAAGCAATATATATGTTTTTTATTGGTAAAACAATGCATAATGTACCATTAAAGATGTGACACACAGTGGCTAAACATGTACCGTTAACATTGGTACAAAACATATACCACCCAAAAAAAATGCATGTTTTGTAAAAGATATACAATGTCCTCTTGGCAGGCTTCATCACTAATGGGGTGCAAGAGGATGTATGCTTGAGGGGGAGATAACTATACTATAAGGGGTTGTGGGGGGAGGATATATCTGCATGGTTACCACTGTTTAGGTCCTCATTACATCCCTGATGGCCCTCACCCTCACCATGCAGGTATACTTGAGGTATACCCTCAAGTATACCTGCATATATACTCCATTACTGCTACTACTAACTGGCCCCTTCAATGAGGAATAACAATTCTTGTACATTTCAGGTGGAGGACTCCAGCGTGGACCCTGAGTGGACGCTTCTCAGTTACCTTCGCAACAAACGTATCCTTTGTTACAGTGAAATGAAGAATAAGTGAAACTGTAAAATATAGCCATGGTTACCTTGGGAAGAAGATTCTACAACCAGGAGTGGCCAGACATGGATATATAGGATGTCGTTGATCAACCGGTTGGGGGAAAGATCTGGTTACACCACAGCCTCCTCACCAGTCCTGGCTGGCCGCTTCTTGATATACCTCAGCCCCGGGCAACTCGTCCTCAGTGATGGTATTTAATGAAACTATTTAGTCAGACGTACAAGAATGGACTGTTGCAGCCAACAGTGATTTAGTTTGATGCTGTTAGTTTGCAGAGAGTACGAACAAATATACCAAACTTTAACATTCCTATGTCTAGTGTAACCAATATATGTACTCTATTAGGCCTAAGATAGATTATTAGGCCTAGGATTTGTTGGACAGGTTAGATTAGGTACTTTGCTTTAATTTCCATTTTCTTAAGCTACATTTCGGGCTAATTCAACCACAGAAAACGTGAACGTTTGAGGTATAACAATGAATTTTTGTTCGTACGACTAAATAGTCTTGTGTATGTACTATAATTTAAGAGGAAGGGCTAACTGAAAACATTCCCAGAATTCGAAGCAATAGTCGTCTCGTTTCTATATTTTAAGAAATTATCAGCCTTCATACAGCTATAAATTATTCAGCTTAGAGACTGTTGTGGACAAGTTTCTTGCACCAATTGTGCTATTAAAGACTATTGGTATATAGTTATATTCAACTGTGTAGCTAACTTATAAAGATTGTTACTTACCTAAATAAATTTTGGAGCTCGGTTCCTTCTATCGGGATGGGTATGGGCCTACTGCCACCCATATGTTGGGTATACCGGGCCCACTCCCACCAATAGGATGGGTATACCGGGCCCACTGCCACCCATAGGATGGGTATACCGGGCCCACTGCCACCCATAGGATGGGTATACCGGGCCCACTGCCACCCATAGGATGGATATAGGGTAGAAAATAAATTTAAAAAATCCATCGTATTGATATATATAGTTCATAAAGGCAAATGGGGGGGGTGGGGACCTTCGACAAGCCGCTGGTCTCCTGTGCTCGTCGACAGGAAGATTGTCGTCATGTCATAGAACTTGTGTGGAGGGAGGATGTGAGGATATGGAACTGGAATATGAGGTAAAGGAACGATGCTCAATCGCTTGTACCATCGGGGATCGAATGCCGACTCTGCTGACTCGGGTTGAAAATTTGAGCGTTTCTCTTAGGCATATTTGTGTGTGTATATTCCTTGACGCAGGGAGAGTGCGGCTATGCGGCACGAAGCTTGGGTGCGGCGAGGGCGGCTGCGGCGCTTGTACCGTCATGATCTCCCGATACGACCGCAGCAACGACAAGGTCATGTAAGTACCTGTGACCTGACCTGACCCGGTCTCTGTGAGCCTTGTTGCAGCACGGGTCCTGCTCTTGCTGCAAGTGACCCGGTCTGACCCGGTCTCTGTGAGCCGTGTTGCAGCACGGGTCCTGCTCTATCAGCGTTTTGCTCCTGTTGGCATCAATCATTTTGTACCTCAAATCATACACTTCGCGTCATCTGTTCTTCATATTTCATTGCATGTATAGTGCAATCATAACATAAGATAAGTTATAACTATTAAATTTAGAAGACCTATTATAACTGATAATTTGGTAATTAGATCGTAATTACTGGTAAACATGTGATATAATTCCTGATATAATTTGGTTATTATTGAAATTTGGTAAAGAATCTAAATATCTTGAGGCTTCAGCAGATGAACTTGTGTTGATCAGTGACTCACACAAGTATATGTTAATTGTTCTGTTTTCAAATAGATTATTATGAAATTAGTTTTAACGAAGGAATAGATTATAACAAGTACTCGCCTAGTTGTGTTTGCGGGGGTTGAGTTTTGGCTCTTTGGTCCCGCCTCTCAACCGTCAATCAACTGGTGTACAGGTTCCTGAGCCTATTGGGCTCTATCATATCTACACTTGAAGCTGTGTATGGAGTCAGCCTCCACCACATCACTTCCTAATGCATTCCATTTGTCTACTACTCTGACACTGAAAAAAAAATTCTAACGTCTCTATGGCTCATTTTGTCACTCAATTTCCACAATTTTGTGTGTGTGAGAGAGAGAGAGAGAGAGATAGATAGATGTGACTAAGCTGTCTCTCTCCTCACCATGCAGCCACTACTCAGTCAACGCCTGCCTGACTCCCGTGGTTTCAACGCACGGCCTGGCCGTCACCACCGTCGAGGGCATCGGCTCCTCCACCACTGGCCTCCACGCCGTGCAGGAGCGCATAGCACGTGCGCACGGCTCCCAGTGCGGCTTCTGCACGCCCGGTATAGTCATGTCCATGTACACACTCCTCAGAAACACTCCTAAACCCTCTATGGCCGATCTCAACGAGTACTTCACAGGTGAGTTGACCCTTATCTTCAGCATTCTGACCAGTTCACAGACGAGGGTTCGATTCCACTGAACGGCTTCAGTGTTTTCTCACGTACCTTGCTCATATAACCAAACTAAGAACACAAGATTCTCTTAAGCAAAGAGTTAGCTAAATGATACATATAGAAGCTTGGCATTATAATTCCTCTTAGATTCTTTAACTACTTTGAGAGTTGTGACTAAGTTCTTCCTGTCATTCATTTAGTAGCTTCAGAGTAACGCATCAACGTATCTTGGTGTGCAGTAAGTCAGGTGTGTAAGTAAACCCGATGTACACCATCAGGGAACCTGTGTCGGTGTACTGGATACCGTCCCATTCTCGAGGGCTTCCGTGACCTGACCTCTGATGCTGCTGCTGCTGCTGCTGGGTGTGGCATAGCCGGCTGTTGCAAGCTCCGTGACCTGACCTCTGATGATGCTGCTGGGTGTGGCATAGCCGGCTGTTGCAAGCTCCGTGACCTGACCTCTGATGCTGCTGGGGGTGGCATAGCCGGCTGTTGCAAGCTCCGTGACCTGACCTCTGATGCTGCTGGGGGTGGCATAGCTGGCTGCTGCAAGCTCCGAGGTACAGACTGCAGCATCCAAGGTGGGTGCTCATACCTTTACTGGTGAATGACAAATGTGATTTTAATCTTCAAGTTCAAGTATGTTTATTGAGATAAGCAATAAATACATCTCAAAGGGATAGAGTAGCTTAGGCTATTTCTACCCCCCTGAATCTTAAAAACAAAACCCTGTTTTAATAAGACAATATACATTAGCATACACATTGTCTCGATATTTATTTATTAGTAACATATCTCGCAATTATTTTTGGGTAAAAAAAAAACTTTGTTTTTGAAGCTGCAACGGAAAACGGAGAAACGGAAGCACCTGCCTTGCTCTACGACACTAGACAGTTCCGGCCCCTCGACCCCAGCCAGGAGATCATCTTCCCTCCGGAGCTGAAGGTGACGCTATGTGAACCCTTGAGGTGCTGAAAGTGACCCGCATGTTGACTGGTGAATGTTGCGAGTGCCACTTATGTGTCGGGGTGGCCCCGGTATGTCCCCCCCCCCCTACAGAGTCCCCTGTGACCAGAACACCCCAGTGACGTGACATGTCTACTTATGACCCCACTTAACACTACAGACACGTGTATCACTCGCGTAATATATCTGCCTAATAACTCTGTTGTAAGTGAAGCGATAACTAGTAGAAGCTGCTGCTATAATATGAGAGAGAAAGAGGTATTGGGTGGTGATCTAAGATTCTTTTCTTATGGCATGAAACACAATTTAATTTGCAGTTTATGTAGATTAAAGTGATCAACTGTCATGTGTGTGGTATAGCTGTATCGACCGTGTGGTATAACTGTATCGACAACGAAGTCGTCATAGCAAATTCTCAGGAATCGGTTTTCCTTCTTACAACAGGTGCGAGGTGATCTTGACAAGCAGTACTTGGAGATAAGAGGAGAAAGAGTCGTCTTCTACAGACCAGTGTCCCTCCCTCAGCTCCTCCGGCTCAAGACGCTGTACCCCAACGCCAAGATTATCGTCGGCAACACTGAAGCTGGTGAGTGGAGGCTCTGGTATAATAGTAAATTCTTTTATCGGGCACAAGCAGCATTCATACATAAAACACACACACACACACCTGCTGGGAATGAGGTACCTGGTGTTTTGCAGTTGCTTTATTCACTCTCATGTTCTGGAGAATATCCACATAACGCACCCAGTGGTCACTTTAGTGCTGGCTACTCATCACAATGTAATGACTAACAATGGAGCTAGATTGAGAGTTTTCCAAGCATCTCTTGACACACAATGACCCTTCATATAGTCCAGGGCATCTACACAAAGGCAGATGTTGGTAAAAATGTAATAGAACACGGGTCACACGGTACTTACTCAAACATTAAGCTTGGCCTAAACGTAGTGACATTTGTCTGTGCTATAGAGTGAGATGAAATAGTATCTGACGTAACCTTGAACCTGCTCCAGGTGTGGAGGTGAAGTTCAAGAACCAGGAGTACCCGGTGATCATCAGTCCCACCTGCGTGGAGGAGCTCACTTCAGTCACGGTCACGGAGACTGGCGTAGTCTTTGGAGCCTCTGTCACCCTGACCGCCTTGGAGAACACACTTCGTACCCAAGTCCACGTCCTCCCAGGTCAGTAAGGGAGAGCCATCATGAATGATGACCAGACCACACACTAGAATGTGAAGGGACGAAAACGTTTCGGTCCGTCCTGGACCATTCTCCAGTCGATTGTGAGAATGGTCGACTTGAGAATGGTCCAGGACGGACCGAAACGTCGTCGTCCCTTCACCTTCTAGTGTGTGGTCTGGTCATCATACTTTAGCCACGTTATTGTGACTCCTCGCTTGCACCATGAATGATGCTCCTAGGATAGTGAGTGTTGTTGTCAGCTGTTACATCATGTAAACAAAGCCACGTGGCTTGTCTAGTGTAAACAAACAGGAAGCACGTGATGGCTGAAGCTGATTGATCGCAAATAAGATCCATTTATACATGTCATCTTGAGTGAAGTGCGTCTGACAGGAACTTGACACATTGAGAGTTCTTAAGATCTAGTTATATCTTGTCTTACAGGCCCACCACTTCTCTCTTAGTAAACAAAATAAATTCTCAAACATGTGTGCAGTTGTAAATGTGTGTAGTTGTAAAACATGTTAATTCTCAGTTAATACTTACTTGTTCACTTATATTGTTCTTGTCAAGCTTGTTAATGTTGTGTTCCTTGGGACAGAACACAAGACGCGAGTGTTCTCTGCTGTGCTGGAGATGTTGCGGTGGTTCGCTGGCAAGCAGATTAGGAACGCTGCGGTGAGTGTGGTGAGGGTGTGTGGTGTGTGGTGAGGGGTGTGTGGTGAGGGGTGTGTGTGTGTGGTGTCTGGTGAGGGGTGTGTGTGTGTGGTGTCTGGTGAGGGGTGTGTGGTGTCTGGTGAGGGGTGTGTGTGTGTGGTGTCTGGTGAGGGGGTGTGTGTGTGTGGTGTCTGGTGAGGGGTGTGTGTGTGTGGTGTCTGGTGAGGGGTGTGTGGTGTCTGGTGAGGGGGTGTGTGGTGTCTGGTGAGGGGTGTGTGGTGTCTGGTGAGGGGTGTGTGTGTGTGGTGTCTGGTGAGGGGGTGTGTGGTGTCTGGTGAGGGGTGTGTGGTGTCTGGTGAGGGGTGTGTGTGTGGTGTCTGGTGAGGGGTGTGTGGTGTCTGGTGAGGGGGTGTGTGGTGTCTGGTGAGGGGTGTGTGGTGTCTGGTGAGGTGTGTGTGTGTGTGGTGTCTGGTGAGGGGTGTGTGTGTGGTGTGTGGTGAGGGGTGTGTGGTGTCTGGTGAGGTGTGTGTGTGTGTGGTGTCTGGTGAGGGGTGTGTGTGTGGTGTGTGGTGAGGGGTGTGTGTGTGTGTGGTGTCTGGTGAGGGGTGTGTGTGTGGTGTGTGGTGAGGGGTGTGTGTGTGTGGTGTCTGGTGAGGGGTGTGTGTGTGTGGTGTCTGGTGAGGGGTGTGTGTGTGTGGTGTCTGGTGAGGGGTGTGTGTGTGGTGTGTGGTGAGGGGTGTGTGTGTGTGGTGTCTGGTGAGGGGTGTGTGTGTGTGGTGTCTGGTGAGGGGTGTGTGTGTGTGGTGTGTGGTGAGGGGTGTGTGTGTGTGGTGTCTGGTGAGGGGTGTGTGTGTGTGGTGTCTGGTGAGGGTGTGTGTGTGTGGTGTCTGGTGAGGGTGTGTGTGTGTGGTGTCTGGTGAGGGAGTGTGGTGTCTGGTGTGGGGTGTGTGTGTGTGGTGCCTGGTGAGGGAGTGTGGTGTCTGCTTACAGACACAAGGGCCAGTAGTAGCATTACAAATCTCTACAACCAGAGTAACGTTCCCGTGGATCTTTCAGGCTATTGGTGGCAACATTATGACCGGGTCACCCATCAGTGACCTCAACCCCTTGCTGCTGGCCGCTGGGGTCACCCTCACTCTCCACAGCCAAGGTCAGAACACCTTACTATGCTCTTAGCAATGTTAAGACAATGCATGAAAAGCGTTGTATGATGTACAGATGCACAACGATACTGAGATCACTCTCTCTCCCCTCTCTGAGAGAGAGACCTGAGGGCGCCGTCGGTACCCCTCTAGTTAGATCAATTAATTCTAAACCGATTTGTATGGTGTTTGTGACCAGGAGACGGTGAGCGACGCGTGTTGATGGATCAACACTTCTTCACCGGCTACAGGCGCAATATTGTCCGGCAGGATGAGATTCTGCTCAATGTCCACATCCCCTACACCCAGGAGGTCAGTGTTAGGAAGAAGGGAGTGATTTCTTCCAAGACATCCTGTTTTAACACTCGTAAGACCGTGTACTGTCTTCTTCAGTATTGCCTTTGTGGTGTCTGGCAAGTTTTCTTTTAGTGTTTTTAGGTATTTAATAATTAGTTATCTTCGTGTTCTGTTTTTTAGCTGTGAACCTCATTGGTTTTTCTTGTGTGCTCTCACCTGAGAGCACACAAGTGTACACTCTCGCCTGAGTACATGGGTACAGCAGACACGTACTGGTGTCCACTCTCACCTGAGACACACCCGTGTCTCAGTAGCACATCTGTTCAGCCTCAGTTCCCCCTGTAATAGGTTCCTGACTTTACAGAACGAGTACTTCCTGGGGTACAAGCAGTCCCGTCGCCGGGAGGACGACATAGCCATTGTAAACGCTGGCTTCAGGGTGAGGTTTCGACCTGACTCCAGTGAAGTTACCCGCCTCGACCTGGCTTTTGGCGGCATGGCTCCCACCACCGTCATGGCCCTCACCACCATGAAGGTACTGTGCCGCTGTGGGATATACGTCTGTACAAACTATCTTAATGGTTAATAAGCATGAGGCCGAGGTGTGTAAAGTGAGCGCATTATGGGTATTACTCACACCATAACATGTTGGAGGTCTTCCTTCAGGCGCTGGTGGGCAGGCAGTGGGATCCCTCGCTGCTGGAGGACGCCACGTCCCTCCTCCTACAGGACCTTCCTCTCCCTCCTTCTGCGCCTGGTGGCATGGTGGAGTACCGTCGCGCCCTCACTCTCAGGTAACCTGCGTGAGCCTCAGGGCCATGGAGGCTGTGTGTGTTAAGTGTGATTACACAGAACCTGGGTATACGGAAGATACTTTATAAACAATGTGGGAGACCCTGCAGGTTAGCTCAAGTGTGTTTGGTGCTCAAACACACTGAAAATTATGGAAAAAAAATTTTACTTTTTGTATACAACCCAATATGCATGGGACGTCTCTCTTTTTTCAGCTTTTTCTTCAAATTTTACCTGAGTGTGAGAGGTCGCTTGAGCGAGTACCTGCCGGAGGTGGCGGCGCCCCTGACGCAGGAGGAGCAGCGGGCCGTCCTCGCCCACCCTCACGTTGTGCCCTCCTCCACACAGCTCTTCCAGGTGAGTGTTAGTCGTCTTGGGTGATGGTAGAGGTGGGAGCGGGGATGGTCCTGGGAGATAGGAAGGAATGGGCTGTCCTGGGAGACGGGAGAGGATGCGTGGATTGTCCTGGGAGAGAGGAAGGAATGGGCTGTCCTGGGAGACGGGAGAGGATGCGTGGATTGTCCTGGGAGAGAGGAAGGAGTGGGCTGTCCTGGGAGACGGGAGAGGATGCGTGGATTGTCCTGGGAGAGAGGAAGGAGTGGGCTGTCCTGGGAGACGGGAGAGGATGCGTGGATTGTCCTGGGAGAGAGGAAGGAGTGGGTTATCTTGAGGTTATCTTGAGATGATTTCGGGGCTTTAGTGTCCCCGCGGCCCGGTCCTCGACCAGGCCTCCACCCCCAGGAAGCAGCCCGTGACAGCTGGCTAACACCCAGGTACGTATTTTACTGCTAGGTAATAGGGGCATAGGGTGAAAGAAACTCTGCCCATTGTTTCTCGCCGGCGCCTGGGATCGAACCCAGGATCACAAGTCCCGCGTGCTGTCCGCTCGGCTGACTGGCTCCCCAGGGTACATGGGTTGACCAAATCACACACTAGAAAGGGACGAAGACGTTTCGGGCCGTCCTGGACCATTCTCAAATAGATTGTGACGACACACAATCGACTTGAGAATGGTCCAGGACAGACCGAAACGTCGTCGTCGTCCCTTCACTTTCTAGTGTGTGGTTGGTCTCACTTTCTAGTGTGTGGTTTGGTCAACATACTTCAGCCACGTTATTGTGACTCCTCGTCTGTACATGGGTTGTCTTGGAGGAGGAGGAATACCCGAGGGAAGATATCGGTGAAGGTAATATTTTCTTAAGTCTTTGAAAGCCGTTTTCTCTTGCAATTGAGCTCCGGCATCCGTTATGTTATTGTTTAACCATTCCCGGCATTTTAGATAAACACCTGCTTGGCATGGTTCCCATAGTCGCGGACACGTTTACAGATGTTTTTCCTGGTGAACAACTGACACAGGATGCAGCTACAACAGTTGCTTAACTCCCAGGTCCCGATTTACTGCTAGGTGAACAGACGCATCGGGTAAAGGAAACAGGCCCAAGTGTTATGCTGCGGAAATTTTGCATGAATTTCTTATTTACCAATTAGAGTAAAATATACGGAAACAAATAAATTGCTTCATTTACTATTCTATATATGCAGAATTTTATATAAATGTGATTCTGATATTGATCTAAATTTCTGAAATTTATATTAAGAGTTAGCCTTTAAATTTATATTTTCTTTACTTCAAATATTATAGAAAATTTCATATAAATAGGAGTAACTAAAGTAAAAGGCTAAAACACACAACTTCCACATTTATTGATAATAATAATCTTTATTCAAACGAATGTGAGTACAAAGAACATAAGAGTTAATGTACAACTGTAGGGACAGGCGTTACACATACTACTGAAGCCACAATTACGCGAAGCGTTTCTGCCAAAACGTTAACTACTGACACTAAACAAATCTTTTTAGTGTCTATAAGGCTCATTTGGGCACTCAATTTCCACTTGTGTCCCCTGTATGTGTGTACTCGGCTATTTGTGCTTGCGGGGGTTGAGCTCTGGCTCTTTGATGTGTGTGTGTGTTAGAGAGAAGTATATGTAGCAGATAGGCATATAGATCAGGAGTCAGTGCATTAGACAACCGACGGTCAGAAAGGCGGGGTCCAAGAGCTAACAGCTCGACTCTGCCGATTCAATTGTCAAACACATACATACACCCACCATTAAATGTAACACCACGTCCTGTTGGTAGATAAATTAATTTGTCCTCTGCAGGTACGCGATGGACAGAACTCAGAGGACCCCATCGGGCGGCCCATAACTCACACCTCTGCACTGAAGCAGGCGACGGGGGAGGCGGTGTACGTGGACGACATGCCCACCTTCACCAGAGAACTCCAGGCTGCCCTCGTCCTCTCCTCCAGAGCCCACGCCCACATCCTCGACATTGACGAGTCTGAAGCGCTGAAGGTCGATGGCGTGGAGAGGTTTTTCAGCGCAAAGGATCTCCCAGGCGAGTTGTAACCACCTGTTTAATATAATTAAATAATTCTATGATTATTTTTACTTGAAAACCGTTCTATATCTGTAAAATAGAATGTCGGCCGGGGTTGAAGGCCTGACAATGAGGCTAGCCTCGACCAATTTTGACAGGGCGACAAAACCTGGAATGCAGATGGAAAATTCCACCAGGGATCCGGAAGGGAGCCGGTCGGCCGAGCGGACAGCACACTAGACTTGTGATCTTGTGGTCCTGGGTTCGATCCCAGGCGCCGGCGAGAAACAATGGGCAAAGTTTCTTTCACCATATGCCCCTGTTACCTAGCAGTAAAATAGGTACCTGGGTGTTAGTCAGCTGTCACGGGCTGCTTCCTGGGGGTGGAGACCTGGTCGAGGACCGGGTCGCGGGGACACTAAAGCCCTGAAATCATCTCAAGATAACCTCAAGATAAGAAGGGAATCCCACCTAGGAATCCCACCAGGTCATATTTCAACCCGTTCTCGCAAATTTAATAAGTCAATATTGACTTGTTAACTACGTGCATAGGTGATATACTAAACATAATAGATACCCTTAAAAAGATTCATAGAAAACACCGACCTTACCTAACCTTGTTAGTATCTTAAGATAAGCATCTTATTGCTTCGTAATTACAATTATTACTTAACCTATACCTATTATAGGTTAGGTAATAATAAGCAATAAGATGCTTATCTTAACATACTAAGTAGGTTAGGTAAGGTCGGTGTTTTCTATGAATCTTTTTAAGGGTATCTATTATGTTAAGTATGTCACCTATGTACATATTTAATAAGCCAATATTGACTTATTAAATTTGCGAGAACGGGTTGCATATTTAATGTTCACTTTCATTACTGTATGCCAAAATTTAAATGAGAAATGAAATGATTTATTCACATCAGCTTTTTAAAAAAAATTATTTTCCATAAGTACATTGATGTATTTTTCCTGCAACAGGAAAGAGGAACGTAACCGGTTGTATCATCTTCGACGAAGAGGTTTTTGCCTCTGAGAAAGTAACGTGTGTAGGCCAGGTGGTAGGCCTAGTAGTGGCCAAGGACCAGGCCACAGCCCTTAGAGCAGCCAAGCTCGTTAAGATACAATATCAAGATATCCAACCAGCTATAATCACCATTCAGGTACCTGCTTGTTAAGGCAACTTTATTCAATTATTAAAAAAAAACTATTGTCGTTTAATGCCATTTGGCAGAACAATTGATAATTGTATACAAAGCTGTATAAATCATTGACAGGACGCTATCGAGGCGAAGTCATGGTGGGATCCATGGACTATACGCAGTGGTGACTTGGAGGCGGCCTTCAGCACCGCAGACCATGTTCTGGAGGGCGAGATGTATCTGGGAGGTCAGGAACATTTCTACCTGGAGACAAATGCCCACCTTGCTGTGCCTAAATGTGAAGATGGGGAAATGGAGCTGTTTTCGTCGTGTCAAAACCCCACCAAGACCCAGGAACTGGTCGCCAGGGCCCTTGACGTTCCCAGGAACAGGGTCGTTTGCCGGGTTAAGAGAATGGGCGGAGGTTTTGGCGGGAAGGAGACGCGGACCAGCGTCGTCTCTGTTCCAATCTGTGTCGCTGCGGCTGCGTGAGTATTGTTTACAAGTCAACTTTTAGCATTTCTTCTTTCTTAAAGGAGCGGGACATATCCTCTGGACTGCAGGCGATGAGTCACAATAACGTGGCTAAAGTAAGTTGACCAGACCACACACTGGAAGGTGAAGGGTCGACGACGTTTCGGTCCGTCCTGGACCATTCTCAAGTCAATTGAGAATGGTCCAGGACGGACCGAAACGTTGTCGTCGTCCCTTCACCTTCAATTGTGTGGTAGGGTCAACATATTTTAGCCACGTTATTGTGACTCATCGCCTGTACATTCAGTGTAAATGTTGAATAAATAATTCATATCTAATTTCTTGCGTATTTTTAGGCGTATTTTAGATATCTTCAGGTTATCTTGAGATGATTTAGGGATGTGTTAGGCTCTCTTGGGACAAGTTAGATTGGTTTTGATTAAGTTAGGTAAAATTAGGTTTTCAGAATCATTGGCGAACCATCTTATGTACGATATGTTCTTGTCTTCCTATTGTGGGGTGCTGTACAGGGGTCTGGTAGTTTCGATCATGAGAATTAGACGCTTTTTTTTTTAACCGTGTATATATCTATTCTAAATGTATTAGTTTACTTAAGATTGTATTTCGCTCGGTTGGGTTAAGTTAGGCAAGTTTCCAAATCCCTTGGCGAATCGTCTTGTGTACGATGCGACTTGTATCCGTGTTGAATATGCTGCTATGGCGGTATGGTCACTCACAGGATGAGAGACGCTGCCCAATACTGTCACTATGGCGGTGTGTCCACTCACAGGATGAGTGGCGCTGCCCAATACTGTCACTATGGCGGTGTGTCCACTCACAGGATGAGTGGCGCTGCCCAATACTGTCACTATGGCGGTGTGTCCACTCACAGGATGTGGCGCTGCCCAATACTGTCACTATGGCGTCATGCTCACTCACAGGACGAATGGCGCTGCCAAATAAACTCGCTTTTCGGTGCAAAATTCACATTTTTGTTGTTAAAATTGTACTTTTGCAGGTTGGGACGTCCAGTGCGCATTATGCTGGACCGGGACGCAGACATGGTGGTAACAGGAGGCCGGCACCCGTTCCTGTGTCGCTGGAGAGTGGCCTTCACTAGCCAAGGCAAGCTCCTGGCCCTCGAGGCCGACCTCTATGCCAACGGTGGCTGCTCCTACGATCTCTCGTCTTCCATCGTTCAGAGAGCCATGTTCTCCATTGATAATGCTTACAAGTGGGTGAAGATTTGATTTTTTTTATATTCCTCCTGTAATTTAGGATATGGGGAGGTTATTAGGGGTAGACAGTCACTTGGGCTGGACGGTAGAGCGACGGTCTCGCTTCGTGCAGATCGGCGTTCAATCCCCGACCGTCCAAGTGCTTGGAAGCCATTCCTCCTCCCCCATCCTATCCCAAATCCTTATCCTGACCCCATCCAAGTGCTATAAAGTCGTAATGGCTTGGCGCTTTCCCTGATAATTAAAAAATATTGCGTTTAGTTATGAATTTCTGAAAGGAAATTGCTAGTTTTCCTAGCCTATATCTCACAATTTTGTTTATTTAACGCGCACCCATTTTAGATACATAAAATCAATTCAATTACGACACTGATTTCCAACGTTACTTGGGGTAAATCCTTAATACGATAATATTGTATTATACGGCCCAACCTCGATTAATGCTAACGAGGCGGGGCCCAATAGTTGGAGCTCGTTCTCTTCAAACCCACATAATAAGCATGCTCAGGAAAGAGCATATATATATATGAGCTTTTTACATATATTTCAATTGATTTTAATTTGAAAACAAAAATATGCCAAACAAATTCTGCTGTAACCACAGAATATAAAACTTTAATGCTATTACTATAATCTAGTTATATCTCTATGAACAATTGTTACAAAAGTTAAAGGATATTAAATATTGCGCTTAGTCATTTAGGAGCGTAAGTTATTACGGGCTATTCATGCCCATGCTACCTCTTGGGTGACTTGATCTTCATCAGTCAATCAGCATCAGTGATGTCATACGATTTCATTTCCACGAGAGAAATCTCCCGTCACGCAGGGTGCAATCGCACCTCCACAGATCTCCAGTATCAGCTCTTGATACTGGTAATGGCTCAAAAGGGCCATCACTTACGGGCTATTCATGCCCATGCCACCTTCTGGGTGGTTTAATCATCATCGATGTCATACTTGTCCGTGCTTAATCGCTTGCTTGCTTGCCAGGTGGGAGGCGCTGCGGGTCACCGGCTACGCCTGCAAGACCAACCTTCCCTCCAACACCGCCTTCAGGGGCTTTGGCGGACCTCAGGGCATGATGTTTACTGAGGACATTGTGTCGCGAGTCGCTGCCTTCCTCAAGCTCGATGCTGTTCAGGTGGGTGGTGTTGGTGCCTTCAGTTTGTCCTGGCGGCTGTCGGGGTGTCCTGGGGGCTGTCGGGGTGTCCTGGGGGCTGTCGGGGTGTCCTGGCGGCTGTCGGGGTGTCCTGGCGGCTGTCGGGGTGTCCTGGCGGCTGTCGGGGTGTCCTGGGGCCAGATTCACGAAAGCACTCACGAACGTGTACATCTTTCCTCAATCTTTGACGGCTTTGGTTACATTTATTAAACAGTTTACAAGCATGAAAACTTCCCATCCAACTGTTATTGTTATAAACAGCCTCCTGGTGCTTCGGAGCTCATAAACTGTTTAATAATTGGAAACAAAGCCGCCAGAGATTGAGAAAAGATGTGCAGGTTCGTAAGTGTTTGCGTAAGTGCTTTCGTAACTAGTGTGATCATTAGGTCACCCACATAACCTGTCTGTGCTTGGCAGGTCACCCACATAACCTGTCTGTGCTTGGCAGGTCACCCACATAACCTGTCTGTGCTTGGCAGGTCACCCACATAACCTGTCTGTGCTTGGCAGGTCACCCACATAACCTGTCTATGCTTGACAGGTTATGTGGTGAGCTAATGACCACCAATTACGACACGGTAGTCACTTTCTCCGACTCGCAAGACAATCTAAAATGAGGTGACTTTGAGTGATGTGTTGGCAGGTGAGGGAGAAGAACCTGTACAAGAGCGGCGACACGACCCACTTCACACAGGTGCTGGAGCGATGTACCGTCGGCCGCTGCTGGCGAGAGGTCCTCCTTCAGGCCAATTATCAATCCCGTGCGGCTGAGATTGATCACTTTAACAGGTGAGCTACACGCCTGTTGTGGCTGAGGCTACAGTGCTGCTTTGATAGGGATAACAGGAGGATAACACGCTCGCCCAGCATCAATACTAGGTATGATTGCTCCTAATTCCATAATAACATTGGGGTTTATCATCGGATTAGGTTCACTCGAAGACTAACTTGCTACAAGTGTTCTAACACGGCATTGTGCGTGTTGGAACACTTGTAGCAACACCTGGGTCTGAGATAGCGTGGGGTAGAGCTGATATCTCTCACGACCATCTAAACCCACCATTCGTAGGAATGGTGGAATGAACATGGGCGTAGATAAGAAAACTGGGTAAAACAAAGACCATATGTGTGATAATAATGATCGTATGATTGGCGTCGATCATTTTGATCAAATTATTCATAATAATTTCACCAGAAAGATTTAAAATGGACAAATGATATTAATCAACTTTTTGTAAATGGTTCTCCATGTCTCACAAGTGTGTATAGAGGTAATTGATCAATGACCACTATACACACGTGTTTCACATGTGTGTATAGACGTCATTGATCATGTGAAATTCAACTTTCACATGAAAGTTGACTTATCAAATAACTTGACAAAGTGAAACTTTATCCTTGAATGTATTTGAAATCACACTTCTCTTCACAGGGAGAATAAATACAAGAAACGAGGACTTGCAGTGGTGCCGGTAAAGTTTGGCATCTCGTTCACGGCCACTTGCCTCAACCAGGCCGGGGCTCTGGTGATGGTCTACACTGACGGCTCCGTCCTGCTCAGCCACGGCGGCACAGAGATGGGTCAGGGCCTCCACACCAAGATGGTACAGGTAGGCTGCTACGGTCGTGAGTTCTGCGATGTAGGCGTGCTGGTGGTGCAGGTTCATCAACCCAATGAATGGATGCAGAGTTGTTGTTGTTGTTATAGATTCGGCTACTAGGAACAAGTTCCAAGTAGAGCACGGGCTATGGTGAGCCCGTAGTGAACTTACCTGGCACAGGAGCGGTGCAAGGTGGATGCAGAGTACAGATATACACTTAAATATTCTAGGCGTTATGAACAGTGCACAGGGAAAAGTACATGGTAGCTATGCCATACTTGCGAACAAAAACAGTCGGGGAGACTGAACTAAAATGAATTGTAAGACGGGAGGACATTAATGAATTGAGATTTTACAAGTGCATTTACGTGTGTTTAAATGTGCACTGCATTCTCCAAAAGGTAGCTTCGCGGGTGCTGCAGCTGCCGGTGGAGGAGATCTACATAGCCGAGACGGCTACAGACAAGGTACCAAACACCTCGCCCACAGCTGCCTCCGCCTCCTCTGACCTTAATGGCATGGCTGTTTTAGTAAGTAGTTCCATCACCAGCCCTCTTGGCCTTTAAGGCGTGTAACTCTATTACCGACATATGGATCATGTCCTAAATTGGAGATTCGGTCAAAATAGGAATGTGTTATGCAAGCGATGAGTCACAATAACGTGGCTGAAGTATGTTGACCAGACCACACACTAGAAATTGAAGGGACGACGACGTTTCGGTCCGTCCTGGACCATTCTCAAGTCGATTGTGAATGGTCCAGGACAATTGTGACAATCGACTTGAGAATGGTCCAGGACGGACCGAAACGTCGTCGTCCCTTCAATTTCTAGTGTGTGGTCTGGTCAACAGGAATGTGTTAATTTGCTTTAAACTTTGTATGACTCTCAGGAGGCCTGCAGCAAGATCATGGAGCGTCTCAAGCCCTATATTGACCAGAATCCCGAGGGAGCTTGGAGAGACTGGATCAACGCAGCATACGTAGACCGCGTCTCGTTGTTCGCCACTGGCTTCTTCAAGTAGGTTGCTGAGCCGTTCGTGATGTCTTGCAGGGAAGTAATTATAATATATCCTTTAAAAACATACTGCAGCTCAGGACTAAATTGATTGATTGATGAAGATTAAACCACCCAAAAGGTGGCACGGGCATGAATAGCCCGTAAGTGGTGGCCCCTTTTTGAGCCATTACCAGTATCAAGAGCTGATACTGGAGATCTGTGGAGGTGCGACTGCACCCTGCGTGACGGGAGATGTCTCCCGTGGCAGGACTAAAGATCATATTCACTCCAAATAGTCTTACCACTTATTCATGCCCGTGCCACCTCTTGGGTGGCTTAATCTTCAACAGTCAATCATACTACAGGCTTGCAGTAAGATACTCTTAAGTGTGAAGTCTTTGTGAAGTCGTCGTGTATTAGTTGACCAACCTTGTCCTGCAAAGAACGTCACATTTAGCTCGTATGCGGGGTTACGGGCTCACCATAGCCCGTGCTACATGGACACTCCGTCCTGAATAGCTAATTCTTTAACAACAGCAGCAGCAGCAGCTTGTATGCATTCCATAAGGACAAAATTTGTCGTACTAGAAAATGGAAGCGGGTCGCGAAAATGACGTACTGTCCCGTTTTCTGTTTTGGGTCCTATTGTGGGTTAGGAGAGACCACTTCAAATTGACTGTTTCCTTGACGTTAGGACACGGCGGGAGACATCTCCCGTCACGCAGGGTGCAGTCGCACCTCCACAGATTTCCAGTATCATCTATTGATACTGGTAATGGCTCAAAAGGGCCACCACTTACGGCGCTGGGCTATTCATGCCCGTGCCACCTTTTGGGTGGCTTAATCTTAATCAATCGACGTTGGGAAAAATTATGAGGACGGGCTGGGTTGATATACCCCGAGGCTTCTCTACACTGGCCGCAAGGCAGCTTTAATTATCACGTCTAATATTCATTGGGAAGTGTCCGCCTGCTCTCTTAAAAGCTACAATTTATTTTATATGAATACATTTGAGTTTCTGGAAAATAGTTTCTTAAACCATTGTTAAGTCTTTGAATCTGTTTTTGTACCCAGTGAGGCAGATCTAGCTCAGTTTTTAAATAATTTTAGTCGATATCATGACTCCTCACAGCTCGTCTATAGTGTCTTAAAGTACAGTTCTCTCAGCTCTACAGTTTTAGTCTTTTATGCATCCAAACCCACCCTCTGGGTGGCGGTGGAAAAGATTACAGAGTACATATTGGAATCGGGGACTGAACCCCAAAATTCATTTAGCAACTAAAGTTATAGTCCTCACAGTCAATTCCGCAAGTTTGCGACGAGTCTCATTGCGAACCTTTGTACCTGTTAAGGTTTTTATGCTTTGAGAGTGTACTTGATGATAAGGCTGCATATTATAGAGCTGGTCTCACATAGGTGGTGTTCAGTGAGTGCGTGTAAGTCCCTCCCTACCCGCGTCCGTTCGTCAGTCCATCCATCTAGGAAAACGGTAGTTCATTGTGTGATTGACAGATTGTAGACCTGCTTCAAATTCACTGCATGGTTTGATTTAAGATCCACGGGAGACATCTCCCGTCACGCAGTGTGCAGTCGCACCTCCACAGATCACCAGTATCAGCTCTTGATACTGGTAATGGCTCAAAAGGGCCACCACTTACGGGCTATTCATGCCCGTGCCACCTCTTGGGTGGCTTAATCTTCATCAATCAATCAATCTGATTTAAAATCAGTTAAGTATGGTTCCTCGAGACAACATAGTTCCTTAACCAAATATTTTAGGTACAAGTCTAAACCTTTTGATGTGTTAGAAACACTAAGCAACACTGGTACTGATCGCCGTGGGTGTTGCAGGACTCCGGACATCGTGAGCTTCAACTTCGAGACGGGCGAGGGGCGGCCATTCAGCTATTTCTCATACGGAGCCGCCGCTACAGAAGTGGAAGTTGACTGTCTAACAGGAGACCATGCGGTGAGTACACCCAAGTTCTGTGATGATCAAGACTGTTGTTGGTGCAGTGGTTGAACAGGTTGTTGTTAGTGGCTTAAACTAGCAGTTTTGTCAACAAAGGGTGACCTCATCTCGCCTGAGGTCAAGGCGAGATCAAAATGACAAAAACACTTGCTCGTAACTCAAACTCCTGCATTTGCGGAAACAAACGACTCAAATTTGGTATAATGCTATATGTTCTGGGCTTTAGTATGATGACGGATGTGAGGTAAAAATGTTACTGGCCGCTGGACCGCACGTTTCAGCCTCTTGGGACGGCTGGACCGCATGTTTCAGCCTCTTGGGACGGCTGGACCGCATGTTTCAGCCTCTTGGGACGGCTGTACCGCATGTTTCAGCCTCTTGGGACGGCTGGACCGCACGTTTCAGCCTCTTGGGACGGCTGGACCGCACGTTTCAGCCTCTTGGGACGGCTGGACCGCACGTTTCAGCCTATTGGGACGGCTGGACCGCACGTTTCAGCCTCTTCGTAAACTTGGAACTTTGATACAATGCTCTCCCACAAAATTAGACAACTTGTAATTTAAATTGAAAAATAATAGCACTTATTGTTAAAAATTGTTAAAATATGTAATTTTATGCCAGCAAATTTGTATCCCATTGGACAGGTGCTACGAACTGATATCGTGATGGACGTGGGAGAGTCCCTCAACCCTGCGATAGATATCGGCCAGGTGGAGGGAGCATTCATGCAGGGCGTGGGGCTCTTTACCCTAGAGGAGCTCTGCTACTCCCCCGAGGGCGTCCTTCTCACAAGAGGACCCGGAATGTACAAGATACCAGGTACACCAACCTCCTCCCCCTCTCAAGTTCAAGTATGTTTATTGAGATAAGCAAGAAATACATCTCAAAGGGATAGAGTAGCTTAGGCTATTCTATCCCTCACTTGTGGACCAATAATGCAAACTTTCCCGATACACACAAACAGATAACATTGTTCTAGGTGACATTAGTTAGTCTAGTGACTTTGGGGCATTCCCGAAGTGTTTAGATATCGTAAATAAATTTAGGAAATCAAGCGATGGTCGTAGCCAATGTAAGGTCACTAGGCTATGGATTAGTGTAATATAGTGTACAAGAGGCTTGTTAGTCAAGGCAGGATTATATATATATATATAATATATATATATATATATATATATATATATATATATATATATATATATATATATATATATATATATATATATATATATATATATATATATATATATATATATATATATAGTGCAATTTTCCTGATGATTCATTGTGAATTTGTACCTTGTGAATCCTCCACTCGTGGCAGTCATTGTATGTGTTATAATTAAACTCAATAACATCATTATTATTACCCTTATTTAAAATGGTATCACTATTTGCAGGCGAGGAGTCACAATAACGTGGCTAAAGTATGTTGACCAGATCACACACTAGAAAGTGAAGGGACGACGACGTTTCGGTCCGTCCTGGACCATTCCCACGTCGATGACTTGAGAACGGTACAGGACGGACCGAAACGTCGTCGTCCCTTCACCTTCTAGTGTGTGGTCTGGTCAACAGTATCACTATTTAATGTCTAACTTGGTATTATTGACAGGTTTCCAGGATATACCGAGGGAATTCAACGTGTCTCTTCTGCGAGGGGCGCCGAATCCAAGGGCTGTGTTCTCGTCAAAGGTCAGGCTTCTTGACTTCACCAGAGGGTTTCTCTGAAAACTTTATATTCTTATATTAAACTCCCCTGGAATGCCAACCACTTGGACTGGACGGTAAAAAGACGATCTCGCTTTATGCAGGTCAGCGTTCAATTCCCTTGACCGTCCACAAGTGGTTGGGCACCATTCCTTCCCCCCGTCCTATCCCAAATCCTTATCCTGACCCTTTCCTAGTGCTATATAGTTGTAATGGCTTGGCGCTTCCTGATAGTTCCCTTCATTTGAAATGCTTTAAATTCAGTATTTTATTGGATTTAAATTAATAATGTTAATAGTTTGAAAGTGTTACTGTGAGATTTTGGCAGAGTATATATATGCTTTACATATTTACCTCTCACACGGGAGACATCTCCCGTCACATAAGATGCAGTCGCGCCTCCACAGATCTCCAGTATCAGCTCTTGATACTGGTAATGGCTCCAAAGGGCCGTCACTTACGGGCTATTCATGCCTGTGCCACATTTTGAGTGGCTCAATTTTTATCAATCTTTATCAATCGAGTAATAACTGGGGAGACATCTCCCGTCACGTAAGGTGCAGTCACACCTCCACAGATCTCCAGTATCATCTATTGATACTGGTAATGGCTCAAAAGGGCCACCACTTACGGGCTATTCATGCCCGTGCCACCTTTTGGTTGGCTTAATCTTCATGCAGGCGATGAGTCACAATAACGTGGCTAAAGTATGTTGACCAGACCACACACTAGAATGTGAAGGGACGACGACGTTTTGGTCCGTCCTGGACCATTCTCAAGTCGATTGTGAGAATATCTATCAAGTCGAATTAAGAATATCTCTTAATCTTCATCAATCAATCAATTACCTCTCTCACTCTGCTTTACAGGGCGTGGGGGAGCCGCCGCTCTTTCTGGCCGCGTCCGTATTCCATGGTATTAAACAGGCCGTGGCTGCCGCTCGCGCCGACCAGGGACTCGACCCAGTCTTCCGCCTGGACTCTCCTGCTACAGCTGAACGCATCCGCATGGCCGCTCCTGACTTCCTCACACGCAAGGTACACCGTGAAGGGTTGTGTGTAATTGATTAAATATATCTAAAATTGAATGGTTGTCCAGTGTTGAAGGGGCAAATGCATTAAAGATCTTCATTAAACTTTACAGGATGATAGGGACACCCCTGTCTTATATTCGGGGCGGAGACGTCCTTATTGGGCCCCCTTGAAAGGGAAATGAGCCCCCCACCCCCTCTAGCGACCCCCCATCCACCCTCTAGCGCCCCCCCCCCCGCCCCCCCCCCATGAAGTTAGAAATGGTGACCAGAGGGTCCATAGAGTTTCATCATATATTCATAGTAGCCCAGAATTCAGATACTGAGTCCAGAACACCATGTTGTGATGGCGGCTCCACTCATTCAGCACCGCTCCTGTGCCAGGTAAGTCCACTACGGGCTCACCATAGCCCGTGCTACTTGGAACTTGTTCCGAGTAGCTGAATCTATAATAACAACGATGGCGGCTCCAAACACTCTGGTACAAATATTTTTGGGGAGTCAACCTAGGCACTATCAGGAACTCCATCGAACAATAAACTAATTTATATATTTTAGAGGAAAAATAATGTAAATGCAGAGAATTGTCCGAGTTTGTATTGAATGTCACCCAAGGTAACATAGATCCTGCACAACACAATTTAATTGATTTTCCAAATATACATAGTCTTTAGAACTCTGAACAAATCCACAAAGGCCGTGACGAGGATTCGAACCTGCGTCCGGGAGCATCCCAGACACTGCCTTAATCGACTGAGCTACGACAGGGTTAAAAGGGTTGAAACCGAAGTTCTACTGAACTTACTGGATCCCGTAGCCTCTCCGAGGCACAAACCAGGCTTTTACACAACCCCCCCCCCCCCCCACTGCACCCGAGCTATGTCAACAGTCTGTTCTCCCTCTTCGCCCTTACATCATCACACACAGATGTGTGTGTGATGATGTACAAGCCTCTGTGTGCTTCAGAACTCTCTCAAATTATTATTCACATTACAACATTATCCAAAACATGCTATGTTACTCGGACTAATCGCACACAATTTGTCCAAGGATTATGGACAGAATGGCTTCTTCTTAGAACATAGGCCTTCTGCAGTTACCTTGATTTACATTAGGAGCTGCCTCGTATGGGCTATCTAAATTTAGAATGGCATGCATACCTATTACAACACCTTTAAAAGTATTTTTAGCCCATTTCTTTGAAAAAATATAAAAAATGACAAATTCGGTCTAGGATATTATCCATATTTTATCTCGACATCCAGAGGTGCCAAATGAGGCGAATAATCCAATTTAAAATACGTATTTATTGGAATCCGTAAGAAAATGTTTATGTAAATTGTCATTAAAATCCTTTTTTTCCCACAGATTGAGCCAGCAAGCCCTGGAACGTTCAAGCCATGGTCTGTGAGAGTTTAGGTCCAGAGACCAGCCGTTGGGAGTTGAACATTCAGGCTGCGAGAGGCAGCTGCAGAGACCAGGAGATGTGGTCTGAACGTTCAACTGTGGTCTGAGAGGCAGCTGCAGAGACCAGGAGATGTGGTCTGAACGTTCAACTGTGGTCTGAGAGGCAGCTGCAGAGACCAAAAGATATCTTGATGACGTCTCTCAAGGCGTTTATTTGTTATCAGAAAGTTCATGTTCAAATTGTCAGTGTTCTTACTCTAGGAGTGTGTGAGGAGCTTGTATCTTCTGGTTTGTGTTCATGGGAGTCTTGCTTCTGCCAATTATGTCTTTAAGATTCTTTCCGCCATCTTCTGGATTGCTCTCCAGCTGAACAGTAAGATGTACATTGTTACATTTACTACTATTGGTGAAGCAAGATATACTAGTGGCGTTTGTCGACAAGTAGGTGAACTAGTGCAAAATGGTTAAAATATGTGCAGACCTTTCATGCTCGACACACTTTCGAAGCATTAATAAAAGTTAAAATAAAAAGAAATTTATGCTTTCGAAGCATAAATTTCGAAGCGACACACCTGCCTCCAAAGAGCCCTTGAGACAAAAAACTACTAGATAGAGCCATGGCAAGTAAGTGTGACTGGGTCCTGGACAACTGTCTATGTTCAGTTTATTTTTTAATCTTCCCCTCCACTCTATTATTGAAACCGGTTAGTTTGCCTCGATGAAAGCTGGCGACAGTCCAATCATCCATAACACTGTTTTCAAACTAGTACTTTTCGACACAACACCCAAGACAAAATTCCCCAAACGTATACTTATTTATGCTGATTTTTTGTTTTTTTTTAGTTAATTTCAAAACCTTGTTATTAACCCATATTCACCTTTTTTTATCTCTTTCCAGCGAGTACTGATTGAGACGCAAACAATCTTGAGAAACAAAGTGGTTAGGGGACATTTGATATAGTTTTATGTAGAGGAATTAATGTTTAACAGGTGCACAAAATATTGTCTAAATTTCGAAGCGAGTCGGAACTTCTCACAAAGAATTAAGGGCATGAAGCAATGATTAATCTTTGGTGTGAGTAAATAATAAATATTCAGGTGAGTAAACCTGAATATTTCGGTTGCTTCCGAAAAAAAAACTTTAAAAATTTAAGACTATTTAAAAATTAACAAAAGAATGCTTATTGTTTGTGAAGACAGTTTATTACTCATCCGATTAACTAACTAGATTAATTTTAACTTAAGTTAAAGCTCATAAAAGTTTTTTTTAAAGGTAATCATAGTGTTTGTCTGGGTAGCAGTTCAGGCTGTTTGCCTATAAGCCACAGGTGGCTTGTTTTATACAAAAGTAAATGAATTTGTGTGTGTGTGTGTGTGTGTGTGTGTGTGTGTGTGTGTGTGATGGTAGTGGTGATGGTAGTGGAGAAGTCAGGAGGCCTGGTTGAAGACCGGGCCGCTGGGACGTTGAGCCCCGAAATAATCATTACAAGGTCCTCTCTAACAACTGTGGCAATGAGTCCTTGGTAATGAGTTTCCGGTTAATGATTTTGAAGCTAGAAACAGACTTGAGGCATAATTGATAACCTGACAGAGTACTCATGTACTTGTAAAAAAAATTGTAATATTTTTTTTAAATAAAATCTACAAAAAGTAATATTGTTCCCAACAGTCCCTTTATCAATACTTAAAGGTACAGGATGGTTAATACGACAATTGATGACTTTATTGATTTTAGAATCTTAATTAACACGGATGATAGACATTGAGTTGGTACACTAGGGAGCAGTTACTTCACGGTTGGGATGTCCAACCACTTGGGCTGGACGGTAGAGCAACGGTCTCGCTTCATGCAGATCGGCGTTCAATCCCCCAACCGTCAAAGTGGTTGGGGCACCATTCCTCCTCCCCTCGTCCCATCCCAAATCCTTATCCTGATCCCCTTCCCAGTGCTATATAGTTGAAATGACTTGGCGCTTTCCCCTGATACTTAAAAGAAATCAGGGTTGAAAGACATTAGTGTTCAGGGAAGCGTAGTTCTGTTTCACCAACTTCTGTGGCCCTCAAGCTGCTGTGGGAGGGTCTTGACCCTTCTCCTCGGGTCACAGATACTGTGAGGTCATTGTAAACAGAACATACTAAGCCGATATATTTTATATGCCATTTAGGAGACGGGGCAGACCTTCACTCTGTCCTAAATGCCATTTAGGACAGAGGGAAGGAATGCTGCCCAATCGCAGACGATGAGTCACAATAACGTGGCTGAAATATGTTGACCAGACCACACACTAGAAGGGACGACGACGTTTCGGTCCGTCCTGGACCATTCTCAAGTACATTGTCACAATCGACTTGAGAATGGTCCAGGACGGACAGAAACGTCGTTCCTTCATATTCTACTGTGTGGTCTGGTCAACATTTCTTCAGCCACGTTATTGCGACTCATCATCTGCACCCTAGACGATGGTAAACTTTTGGAGTTCTCAGAGAACCTCAGCAAGGAGGTACTTGATATTATATCTCAAGGAGATACAATATCTCCTTGATTATATCTCTTAATATAGCACCATTAAGGATATACGCATATAAACCTGATGATTTATGAAGCCACAAAAATCAATACACTATAATAGTATTACATGCTTAACAAAATTTAAAATTACCATACTAGGCTTTCTTTCAGTAACTATAAGAGGCTTTCTGAAATGTAATTTGAATTATAGATCAAATCTAATGGAAATTTTTTATTTGAAATATACAATGATAAAGAACTAGAGATGTTAAAAGGAATCTGAAATACGTATTTATGTACATTAATATATTTGGTAAAGTTTTGTACATATTTATTGGTAACTTCAGCTACAGTGACAGTGAGTAGCGCTATGCTGCAGCTACGGTGGGTAGCGCTATGCTTCATGCAGAATTAAATTTAGTAACGCATGAAACCTCAGTTCTTGAAGTTTCATATCACGTGAAGAGATGATTAACATGTGACCAAGTGAAGTGATGGTCTTGTCAACGGGTGGCCGATATACCAAGTGGAGTGATGATGCTATTCAACGAGAAGACATCAAGCAGAGTAGTAGCAGCCGGGGGACTGCTCCAGGTTGGTGGTGTCCCCGGAACCCAACAGGAGAACGCCCCGTCTGCCACCAGGGCACAGGACAACCTCCTCTGGACCGGAACTCGAATGGTCCCCAAGATTCCTGTCGTCGTACAGGTACAGACTTTTAATTGTGCATCCAACACGCATTCAGTTTTTATACTCATTTATTCATTGGAGTTAAGTTAGTGTGGGAGCCACCAATGAGGAGGCATCAGTATGTAAACATGTAATTAATGTCTTCAACAAATTAACACGTGAAAAATAAAATGATTTACACTGAAAGGTGTACCCCATCTCGGTATATATGTCGTGCCTAATAGCCAGAGTTGGCTAACAAGCCAAATTTCCGTGAAATATTAAATTAAACAAATCTTAAAATTGTTTTTATTGTATTATATATGATTGCGATTTTATTGAGTCAATACTAACATAGAAATTTCAGCAAACCTAATGTACCTATCCTATGCAAATCTGTCCTAACCTAAGTCAGCAAATCATGTTCCTAATGGATTATTATTTTTAGGAAAGAACAATCTGGAAATAAATTTTTGAAATCTCAAATTCTTTCTGCCTGTTAGGCAAATCGAACTTCCCATGCTAGGCCAAGTAGTGCGATTGTGGCTATTAGGCACGACATATATACACAGATGTACCCCCCACTTCTCTGTGCATATACACATACCTAGCATTTTGTCCTGTACTATTTCCAGGATTAAAGTATTTTTTTATTGATTGGTCAGTGGCCTTGACTCCTGCAGAGGTTGCTGGGCCTTAAACCCAACATCAAACCAAAATTCCACTGATCTGGGCTCTAGGAAACTTGAACCGCGGACCCCAAGCGTGTGAAACCGAAGCTCTATCAACCGAGCTATTGAGAGGTCTTAATAAGAAAAGGTTCCAGAAGCAGCATCCTTCTGCCAAACTGGGATTTTCCACTTTTCTAACTACTACTGAAGTTCAGAGAAATTAGAGATCCACGCCCACTCTTTTTTTTTTTAATACAAGAATTCTTACATTCTTGTTCAGCCACCAGCACACACAGCCTTTCGGGCAGGTCCTAAATCCTATATTCCCCGGTATACGACCCTGTCAAATCGTTTAGCAACCAGGTACCCATTTTACTGCTGGGTGAACAGAGGCTACAGTTAAGGGTTGGCACCCAGTCAATCCTCCCGGCCAGGACAAAGTGCTCACGAAACGCCAGGCTAGCGTCTTACCACTACGCCACGGGGACTATTATACTATGATTATGTAGTCACGGATACACGATTATCCATGTAAACAAATCCTAAATTTTATGCATCACGCTATTGTGATTTCTGTGTGTAATTACCCATGTATCCTGGATTGAGACTTATGTATGGCGTTGCTTTCAAAATACGAATAAAAATGCAGGCGAGGAGTCACAATAACGTGGTTGAAATATGTTGACCAAACCACACACTAGAAAGTGAAGGGACAACGACGTTTCGGTCCATCCTGGACCATTCTCAAGTCGATTGAGAGTGTGTCTATTCTCACAATCGACTTGAGAATGATCCAGGACGGACCGAAACGTCGTTACGATTAAAAATACCATTTAATATTAAAAATACAGCCAGTAAATTTGATAATAAACATTTCTGTAAACCGCCGGAGAGGCTCACCTCTGGGCAGACTTCTCTATGTTGAGGAGCGAGAGACTGGAGACGGGGAGGCTGGCGTCACAGGCGGGGCAGGCGATGCTCCGCCTGGCCGTCCAGGTCAGCTTGGCGAACACGCTGGCGCCGAGTTCCTCGTCGTGTTCAAGCAGGAAGGTGTACCCTTGGTCAGGATCGATCTTATCCGTAGATCTAGCATGATAGAAAATAATAAAACGCAGTATTAGAGTTGAAAATAAGAGGGTCTAGTCACGTTATTTAGAAAGGCATTGAACTAGGTAGAGAAACTAGATGAACCACACAGAGATCACACTAACGTGATGCATCAAATGAACAAATCCACAAGGGCCGTGACGAGGATTCGAACCGGCGTCCGGGAGCATTTTAACCATGTCGTAGCTCAGTCGATTAAGGCAGTGTCTGGGATGCTCCCGGACGCAGGTTCGAATCCTCGTCACGGCCCTTGTGGATTTGTTAAACTAGATGAACAACAAAATAGACAAATAAGATAGACAATGTCGTAGCTCAGTCGGATAAAGGCAGCGTTTGGGATGATCTCGGACGTAGGTTCGAATCCTCGTCACGGCCCTTGTCGATTTGTACAAGCACAATGCTAAATAAGCACAATGCTTCCCAATTGAGGATCGTGAAGCCCATTTTCAGAGCACTAATCCATCGCCAATTTCATTCCAAATATGATAAAAGCCAATTATATGATTTGTCTCGACGTTTGTGTCAAGAAACTTACTCAATGGAGAGCGTGAAGGTCCAGGAGAGACCGGCTGTGGTGAAGAAAGAGAGCTTCATGCTCCCAGCTCGGCTCCTCGCCCCGGCTTTCTCAAGCTCCAGCCTCAGCCGGTAGTGGTACACTGTGTGATAAAAAGAAAGTGTGTTAAATGGGGTCAAACTTGTTTGGCCAGAGGCAACTGTAAAGTGTTGGGGCCACAGGGCCCTCATTGATGTTGGGGCCATGGGTACCACAGGGCCCTCACTGATGGGGCCATGGGTACCACAGGGCCCTCACTGATGGGGCCATGGGTACCACAGGGCCCTCACTGATGTTGGGGCCATGGGTACCACAGGGCCCTCACTGACGTTGGGGCCATGGGTACCACAGGGCCCTCACTGATGGGGCCATGGGTACCACAGAGCCCTCACTGACGTTGGGGCCATGGGTACCACAGAGCCCTCACTAATATTGCTACCTTGTAGCACATTTAATATCCTCAGTAAGCCAACATTAAGAGTATATAATGAATCGGGGAGCAACGTTAGGTTACATACACCACTGATACTGGTATACACACACACACACACACTCACAGCACAGTTTATTCGCCGACCCAGTCGAGATGAACATCTGGCCAACTGGTTGGGTGCCAAGCCAGGTGTCTGCCTGGATGCCCATGCGCGCACACCTGGTGCCGTTCTCACCACAGCTGAAGCACTCCCCCTGCAAACGACATAACATGAAATTTCCAGTTTTTCACATCACTTCTCTTCCCCACATACATGGAATGAAGAGGCACCAGCCCAGAGTAAACACTAATGATTGATGAAGATTAAGCCACCCAAAAGGTGGCACGGGCATGAATAGCCCGTAAGTGGTGGCCCTTTTGAGCCATTACCAGTATCAAGAGCTGATACTGGAGATCTGTGGAGGTGCGACTGCACCCTGCGTGACGGGAGATGTCTCCCGTGAGTAAACACTAAAAGGGACGTTAATATATATATATCTAAATACCCCCTACCTTGAGGTTACCTTGAGGTGCTTCCGGGGCTTAGCGTCCCCGCGGCCCGGTTGTCGACCAGGCCTCCTGGTTGCTGGACTGATCAACGAGGCTGTTGGACGCGGCTGCTCGCAGCCTGACATATGAGTCACAGCCTGGTTGATCAGGTATCCTTTGGAGGTACTTATCCAGTTCTCTCTTGAACATTATGAGGGGATTGCCAGTTATGCCCCTTATGTGTAGCGGAAGCGTGTTGAACAGTCTCGGGCTGTTCAACACGCTTCTGCTACACATAAGGGGCATAAACCCCCCCTGGCTTTGGTTTATAATCTGGAGGAAAAACCATGTAATCAATCTTCACCCTTATTTTATGTGCTGTGATAATACTTACTGCTTGGTACTTCTGGTAGCTGTCGCAGGCGAAGGCCATGTAGGAGCACTGGGAGATTATGGAGTCTGTGAAGAGGGCGGCGGAGCGCATGTGGCTGCATCCCAGAGCGTCCTCAACCGCTTTTGAAACTGAGAGACAGAGAGAGAGAGAGAGTTATGGCTGCTGGACCTCTACATAGTTTGCCTTGCACGAGTGAGTTCATAAATAAGCGCAAAATTTGCCATTTTGTGCTTAATTATGCTAACTCATACATAATTTAACAGCTATTTCATTTATTTTCAAAACAACGAAATGTGGACTGACATTTGGAGACGTCGTTGTTACTCATCCACCTGGTGACTGGAGACTGGCATCCCGGTTGGTAGAGACCGTCGTTGGGGTAAAAGTCGACGTGGCCAAGTGGTTCTCTGAGTCCATATCCACCAACTGTAAATACATGTTGTTGTTGTTAAAGATTTAGCTACTCAGGACGAAGTGTCCATGTAGCACGGGCTATGGTGAGCCCGTAATTGAGTTTGGTTATACATGATAACCTTTTTCCCTGTCTGTAAATGCAAGACGCCACTTTCAACACCTTCGCCTGAGGTTCATGACTGTTAATAGTCTTCGACCGACCAGGACTCGAACACCATCTGGTCACCACTTGGTCCGGGAGACATCTCCCGTCACGCAGGGTGCAGTCGCGCCTCCACAGATCTCCAGTATCATCTATTGATACTGGTAATGGCTCAAAAGGGCCTCCACTTACGGGCTATTCATGCCCGTGCCACCTTTTGGGTGGCTTAATCCTCATCAATCAGGACTCGAACCTGCATAGCCAGAGATCAGCCCCCCGGCGTACACAGTACGTGGTTTCAGTACTTTGTACAGCGAGGGTTGAATCCTGGTGATTGTTTTTAGATTCAGCTGCTCGAAACGTAAGTTCCGAGTAGCACGGGCTATGGTGAGCTCGTAGTGGACTTGCCTGGCCCAGGAGCGGGGCAATCTGTGGTCGAACCCTGGCCGGATCATACTATATATAGATAATGTGAGTTTTCAGTTGCATATAGTCCTGGGGACCATTCAGGTTTGTTCGCATAGATAATGTATGTAAATCACCAAGAAATTAATGCGTAATGAATAACGTGACAATATTTACCCACGAAAGAAAATGAAACAAAGTGCTTAAGGTCGTGTGGGTGTTCGTCTCCTAGGGGAAGACAAGGGCGGACGATCACTGTGAACCCATTTCGGCTTCGCCTGACTTGGGAGGAAGTTGGTGCCGCGTCTCCACGCACTCAGACCCGTGGATTGTCCACTCTAATGTACAGTCGTAGACTGGCGAGGTGATCGCGCAGAGACTGGAAGGATTCGTCGTAACCAAATAATGCGGCGAGTATATAAAACAAACTAAAGCAGACCAATTCTGGGAAAGCTGCAGATTTTGACGGCATAAATGTTTAGCTAATACTTACACAAGGTGAAGGGTATGGTGTCGGTGTGGATGACGTCGACAAAGAGGGCGTCGGAGGGGTCCAGGCGGACTCTAGCCGGCATGTGCTGGAACTGTGGCTGGGCCGGGTCCAGTCCGGTGATCCTCCCCAGTCCGGACACCCGCTCCCCGGCATATCCTAAGGAAAAAAATTTCAATAATAGTTGTATTTGTCGTGATTTCATCGGTGGTTAAGGGGGAAATGTGGCATCTCCAGGAAAGTTGTATTTGAATGTATAGTTCCAAGGCCTTGATCTCTTTGGGATATAATGGGCGGCCAGAAACCTTTCATTCCTTGAAAATGGCATCTTCTTCCTTCCTCTTTGTTTTGTAATTTACGATGAAAGTTGCAGCCATTATCATCACTTGGCAAAGTGGAAGCCGATAATAATTCAATACAACATAAACCCAGTATATTTTTGTTGATGATTGAGGAAAATTAAGCCACCCAAGAGGTGGCACAGGCATGAATAGCCCGTAATATATTTTAGTCATCAAAGGAGTTAATATAACGTGAGGCATCTCCCGTCACACCTCCACAGATCTCCAGTATCAGCTCTTGATACTGGTAATGGCTCAAAAGGGCCACCACTTACGGGCTATTCATGCCCGTGCCACCTTTTGGATGGCTTAATCTTCATCAATCAATCAATTGGACACTACCTCTGGACACATTCACGGGAGACATCTCCCGTCACGCAGGGTGCAGTCGCACCTCCACAGATCTCCAGAATCAGCTCGTGATACTATTAATGGCTCAAAAGGGCCACCACTTACGGGCTATTCATGCCCGTGCCATCTTTTGGGTGGCTTAATGATTGATTGATAAAGATTAAGCCACCCAAAAGGTGGCACGGGCATGAATAGCCCGTAAATGGCTTAATCATCATCAGTTAATATTACCGTGATAAACTCACCACACACATGAGCCCCGAGGGAGTAACAGATGAGGTGGACGTCTTGGGGTTTGTGGCCCGTGTGGTCCTGGAGCCAGTGGATGAGGTGGGCCACTTCCAGGCCGGCCACCCGGGCGTTGGCCACAGACTGTTCGTACATCCCCAACGACCCGGCAGTCCAGTCCATCATCACCACGTTGAAGTCTGCCACGTGCAGGAAGGCGCGAGCAATGTTCTGCCAATGGATTAGATGTGAACACTTTGGATAAATATTTTACCATTTTTTAACATGCAAAAATCCATCTTTTCCATGAATTATTAGGGTTTTTTTAAAGGAATGTTTAATGTGCATGGATTGTGAGCACCAAGGCTGTCATAATATTGGTGTTGACCAGACCACACACTAGAAGGTGAAGGGTCGACGACGACGTTTCGGTCCGTCCTGGACCATTCTCAAGTCGATTGTTGAGAATGGTCCAGGACGGACCGAAGCGTCGTCGTCGTCCCTTCACCTTCTAGTGTGTGGTCTGGTCAACATACTTTAGCCACGTTATTGTGACTCCTCGCCTGCGCTGTCAGAATATCACTAAAAGTGCATAAAAGTTGAGCCTCTGCTGTTTTCCAGGAAGGGTCCCTGTATGCTGGTGCTCCAGGTACAGTTTAAGTATCAGATTGGGCATGCTGGAATGGTTTTTACAGAGCTTCGTATCTTACAGGACCTACGGGAGACATCTCCCGTCAAGCAGGGTGCAGTCGCACCTCCACAGATCTCCAGTATCATCTATTGATACTGGTAATGGCTCAAAAAGGCCTCCACTTACGGGCTATTCATGCCCGTGCCACCGTTTGGGTGGCTTAATCTTCATCAATCAATCAATTACAGGACCGACATCAACCATCTAAACATCGACTGCTATCACCCAAAATTTGCCAATACAAAACAATAAATACTATGAAACTTCTACTTACCATCATCCACGGAGCATCTTTGCCAGTGAGGTACCCGTGCAAAATGATTTTTGTCTTCCTGTTTGGCCTGAAGGAAGAATTGAGGATATTCTGGAGTTGTAGCGCAGGTACGCTCACTCCCTTCAGGTCCTCGCTCGAGTAAAACCTATAAACTACACCAATGGCCTCACGCGACTCCGGCTGGAGATTGACGGGGCGGTACCACGGGTGGAAGAAGTCAGCGGTCGTCTCCAGACAACCAAGCTCCCCAAAACAGATTTCCTCGAGAGGTTCTTTACTTGATCCTAGAAGAGCGATGTCATAATTAAACGTCGTGTCTTAGAGAAGTAAGTAAGTAAGTAATTATCAAAAGAAGGCACCAAACCGTCTTAGAGAAGACGACTTACAGGCGAGAAGGTAACGCTTTGTGTAAAAATAAGAATGTTAGATTTATAGCTGTTTAGACTGTTACCTTGAGGTGCTTCCGGGGCTTAGCGTCCCCGCGGCCCGGTCGTCGACCAGGGCCTCCAATACATATTTAACACAGTCCAAGCCTGGTTACAATCCGGCTGCTTGAAGAGTGTTAATTATGGAAATATTCCATTCATTTGGGTCTCGAATCATAGACCCATATGTATGAGGACTCTATCGACACGATGAGAGCTTTGTGCCAACCCGTCCTCGACTCAAAAGTCCATTACATCCAGCGGTCGACCCCACAGACGCATTCATAAATTTGTACATGCTATTCATTCTAAACGGGAATTTTATCAAATATAAATATTATAGTATATTAGCATATTGTGTATATATAGGGATAGGTTAGGTGTTTAGGTTCTGTTGGCGATTATTTGTATTTGTAGTACGTGGGTGAAGCATTTACAGCGTTGTGGTCCGAACAAAATTCGTCAGTGAAGCACTTGTTCCGGAAGTGTTCGAACGTCCTCAGTTGTGAGTCGCGTGTAAACCGTTTTTCATAAATAAGCAGGGGGGGTTTGGCGGGTGCACGGAATCACTTTTGGATCTTTGTTTGGAGGACGAGCTGTTTGTACACCTGTAACTCTATCGACACGCGTGGGGGTCTACGGTTCGAGACCCATTCAGCCCAGGTATATGGAATGTTTATTTCCACTGAAGTGTGAATGACAATTTTATGTTAGCATGGTTGCCAAGTATTGAGTCTGTATCTGTGTTGAGTCTGAGTACGTGTATCAAGTGTTTAAATATCATAAGTACATAATTTGGCCATTTTAGAATTATTTGAACAGCTGCGTCTTCTTATAGTTGAACTCGTCAGTGTAAATGGGGTCATACACTTCTAGTGCCCTAGACCTCTAAGGCACTAGAGGTGCCTTAGACCTCATAGACCTCTAAGGCACTAGAGGTGCCTTAGACCTCATAGACCTCTAAGGCACTAGATGTCTAAGGCATGGATTGTGGCATCGATGGAATCCCAGAATTCTTAGACTCTATTGATCTCAAAAAGTAAACAGCGCTAAATTGAGTCATTAACTATAGCTATACAATTCGTAAGTTTGAATTTGCGTTGTAAATATTATCATAATGCTAGTATGAGAGCCCCTTACCACTTCTAGCAAGCAAGGCAGAGTTCTTGGGGAAGAGGTTGAAGTAGGGAGAGGTGTTGATGGCGCGGGACAAGGCAGGCAGGTCCTGAGTGATCCTTGACAGGAGGTCCAGCATGGTCTGTGTCGCTGCTGGGGCCACCACGACCACCACAGCCAACACAAACACCTGAACAATCCTCGTGCTTGCATTTCCTTGACCTTAAACACAACATTCTATGATTAGAAAACACTGTGTTAATTTACCATGGGATTTTTAAGATAGTTGAAATGCATTAAAAACATATAAATTAACTTCAATAATGGTATATTATCCCCTCTATGCTACTAGCATAATTGAAATTGAAATAAGTTTATTGAGGTAAAATACACACAAAGGGATGAGGTAGCTCAAACTATTCTCACCCCGTTCAGTACATCGTGTTAATACATGCATAGACACACATCACAAACAATAAACATATTACCAAACATTCTGAGAGATAAACATATACATTTCCTACTACTAGCATAGGTAATGTATAAAACGATTAGGCAAGAATCGCATTTACATTGCCCATGTAGGGTCTAGCAATCTGTCTTAACTAATGGTTCAAAGCTCTCATCTAACTGATTCATCAATCATGTCTATACGTCATACGTCAATCATACGTCACTTTTCGCTCGTATCTGTTCCATAAGGACAAAAATTGTCGTACTAGAAAATTAAACCGGCTGGCGAAAGTGACGTACTGCCCCGTTTTCTGTTTTGGGTCCTCTGGCAGGTTAGGAGAGACCATTTTAAATTGACTGTTTCCTTTACATTGGGAAACCTTAAGAGGACTGACTGACCTTAGTAATGCCCGTGTGAAAGAAAGATTAACATGTTAACCTTCAATCATATTTCTTCTTACTGTTAGCGTCATTAGGGAATTTAAACTAAGCTTTCCTAATCTCTTGTTATAATTTATATGATTAACTTTGTCGCGCCAAATCTCAATTAAACTTCCTAACCTAAATTGGTGCCTTATAAGACGTGGTAAAGAACATGAAATGTCTTACTTGTGGAAACAGTATGACTTTAATGTTATTCATAATTGTGTCTCCTAAGACAACCAAGTTTCTTTGCTTTACTCTGAAGCACACAATATTCTGCTGAGAGCCACAGAAACCGAAACTTGCCACTTACCCAAGTCTTTAGGAAAGACTTGGGTAAATACTGGTTCGGTAAGAGGGTTGTTGATTTGTGAACCAATTACCGCTTAACGTGGTGGAGGTGGTGTCCCTCGATTGTTTCAAGCGTGGGTTGGACAAGTATATGAGTGGGATTGGGTGGTTATAGATAGGAGCTGCCTCGTATGGGTCAATAGGCCTTCTGCAGTTACCTTTGTTCTTATGTTTTCCTTATGTTTTGCCACAGCCACAGCAAGTGGCTTGCCACAGCCACAGCAAGTGGCTTGCCACAGCCACAGCAAGTGGCTTGGCTTGCCACAGCCACAGCAAGTGGCTTGGCTTGCCACAGCCACAGCAAGTGGCTTGCCACAGCCACAGCAAGTGGCTTGGCTTGCCACAGCCACAGCAAGTGGCTTGCCACAGCCACAGCAAGTGGCTTGCCACAGCCACAGCAAGTGGCTTGCCACAGCCACAGCAAGTGGCTTGGCTTGCCACAGCCACAGCAAGTGGCTTGGCTTGCCACAGCCACAGCAAGTGGCTTGCCACAGCCACAGCAAGTGGCTTGGCTTGCCACAGCCACAGCAAGTGGCTTGCCACAGCCACAGCAAGTGGCTTGGCTTGTCACAGCCACAGCAAGTGGCTTGGCTTGCCACAGCCACAGCAAGTGGCTTGCCACAGCCACAGCAAGTGGCTTGGCTTGCCACAGCCACAGCAAGTGGCTTGCCACAGCCACAGCAAGTGGCTTGCCACAGCCACAGCAAGTGGCTTGGCTTGCCACAGCCACAGCAAGTGGCTTGGCTTGCCACAGCCACAGCAAGTGGCTTGGCTTGCCACAGCCACAGCAAGTGGCTTGGCTTGCCACAGCCACAGCAAGTGGCTTGGCTTGCCACAGCCACAGCAAGTGGCTTGCCACAGCCACAGCAAGTGGCTTGCCACAGCCACAGCAAGTGGCTTGGCTTGCCACAGCCACTTGGCCGAAACGCTATGCCTACTAGCGGCTTTAGGTATTGTATGTACTATATCTTTAAATCCAGCATTATGTATGTAACTCAATTTATGCACCTTTACCTGAATACAAAATCTAAATCTATAATACCTGCTGGCTGGTCAATAATTTTTTTTTAACGAACTCTCAATATTGTACACGTTTCATACTTAGAATACTTGATTAAAGAAAGTGATTTGCTGTAAAACAACGGAATCAAACACTTTCTTTAATCAAGTAATCAACATGTGGACTAGTTAACCAGACACTATAATACGGTGAAATGCACTGTACACACTCAAAAACACAATATGCAGATAAACAAATCCACAAGGGCCGTGACGAGGATTCGAACCTGCGTCCGAGAGCATCCCAGACGCTGTCTTAATCGACTGAGCTACGACATGGTCGTTCATCTCGTTCATTTAATGCATCACACAATTGTGATGTCTGTGTGATATACAGATAGATAGTCGTCTTCAAAATCACGACCCAGTTGACTCTGAAGGTCCGATATCATTTGAATTCGTTTGTAGTCCTTTGTATTTGCCGGGAAGGTTTGGTAAGCATGCCAGGCGAACTCCCTCGTCTGCTCCTCACGTCTAGGGGATACAAGCGCACTCGCATGTCAACAATGTTATCCCACTGGATATCGCTCAACCTCACAATACTTCATTCAGTTACATTCTTTCAAGCAGCTTTCATATTTCGGTAATGCGGATAGGGGACAAATAGAACATCTAGAGATATACAAATAGATTTTAATTCGTTGAATTATTGAATATCTGAAGCAATTAGTTATTCATTAGTTTCATGATTCAGGATCAGAGACTGAGCAGGAGTTTATGGTTGAAGCTTTTGTACGTAAATTTAACTTTCAATGAAAGTATTTCTACGCCCTTACAACAGAAGTTAAATATCCCACTGTGATCATTACCCAGCTTTAGTGCCAGACGTATCGGCATTTAAAGGCTTGCAAAAGTAGTACAATGGGAATGCAAGCATCAACACGCTACGTATTTTAATAGTTGCTGTAGTCTTTGAAGAAATCGTACTTATTAACACTTGTTATTGGAACTATTTAGAACTGCAGGTCAGACGCCATGAATGGATGGGGGTTAGGGGGGAGATGTGGCTTCACAACACACTAAACCCAAAATAACCATATGGTGGGTGTTTATTTACCTATGAACCACGTGTTTATAATGTTGACCAATCCACACACTAGAAAACGAAGGGACGACGACGTTTCAGTCCGTCCTGGACCATTCTCAAGTCGATTGTGAATGGACTCGATCCATTCACGGTGGAATGGTCGATGGAATGAAATACAATCGACTTGAGAATGGTCCAGGACGGACCGAAACGTCGTCGTCCCTTCATTTTCTAGTGGACTCAATCCATTCACGATGGAATGAAACACAATCAACTTGAGAATGGTCCAGGACGGACCGAAACGTCGTCGTCCCTTCATTTTCTAGTGGACTCAATCCATTCACGATGGAATGAAATACAATCGACTTGAGAATGGTCCAGGACGGACCGAAACGTCGTCGTCCCTTCATTTTCTAGTGGACTCAATCCATTCACGATGGAATGAAACACAATCGACTTGAGAATGGTCCAGGACGGACCGAAACGTCGTCGTCCCTTCACCTTCTAGTGTGTGGTCTGGTCAACCTACTTCAGCCACGTTATTGTGACTCCTCGTCTGCACGATTTTATAGGTCGTGGTCCGCGTGGCCTCAACGACATTGGTATGATCCTCTCGTCAGACGACTCTCTCACAGACATAATGAAGCCAACTGACTCCCGGCTTACCATTGTGATGGTGGAACGTTTTTAATAATTAGCCCTTAATCACACCATTACGGGTGTTACGACCCTGGGTTCTTCAGTGGAAACCAGAGGTCAAAACTGAACTAAATAAGCTACGTTAGATTAGCAAAACGCAACTCGATGTGTCCTTGTTTGTATCTTCCCTGCCAGACGTAAGACTATTCTTGTTTCCCCACACCATTCCCACTATTCTTGAACCCACTCACTGAACGTGCTAAACAACTAACTGCGTTCGTGACAACGGGTCAGTACCATAGTCTGAACACCTGGTTCCATGGTTCCATGTTTTGTGGGAAATTCGGTTCTGGGAGACGCTGACCTGTTGGATACTGTCCGCGATGTCTGTTGCAAGTATTGTGACCACACATCTCGGTGGTGTAAACTAATTGTTTACATAAATTCTGGACGAAAATATACTTTCCGGTTAGTTAGTAAAGTATTGGTGGCCTAATAACCCTTTATAGGTTGCAGGCGATGAGTCACAATATCGTGGCTGAAGTATGTTGACCAGACCACACACTAGAAGTTGAAGGGACGACGACGTTTCGGTCCGTCCTGGACCATTCTCAAGTCGATCGAGTCGATTCTCAAGTCGACAATCGACTTGAGAATGGTCCAGGACGGACCGAAACGTCGTCAACCCTTCAACTTCTAGTGTGTGGTCTGGTCAACTTTATAGGTTGATTGGTCTTAAAGGTCAACGCCCAGAAATACCACTGAATAACATTTTCCATTTACGTGGAATGCAAACACACGTTCAGCAAACTACAGAACACTCGTAACAATAACACACACACACAGATCACAATAACGTGATGCATCAAATGAACAAATCCACAAGGGCCACTCGTAACAATAACACTGGCATTCAAATTCACCTGACATTGGAAGGAAGCGTTGAGGTCCCTGCAACGAGAGAGAGAGAACACGGATCCTGCTGCTGCTGCCCACTTTCCACACGTGTGTCCACCTCCGTCACTTAGAAAGCACTGCGCTACTCCCTCTGCCTGCACACTTATAACCTTGGGCAATGTCCCTCTGCCATACCTCACCTCCTCCTCCCCCCCCCCCTCCTACCCCCTTACCCATCTTAATTTCCAGTGCCACCCTTCCCTAAACGGGAGACATCTCCCGTCACGCAGGGTGCAGTCGCACCTCCACAGATCTCCAGTATCATCTATTGATACTGGTAATGGCTCAAAAGGGCCACCACTTACGGGCTAGTCATGCCCGTGCCACCTTTTGAATGGCTTAATCTTTATCATCATCATCATTCCCTAAACGACCAGGGGCAGAGGGCCCAGAGCCACTTAAAGATGCTACACGACTAAAGATCACATTCACTTCAAACATCTACCACCTATACGGGCTAGTCATGCCCGTGCCACCTCTTGTGGGTGCTTAATCATCAATCAATCAATTACCCTAAACGATGTCTCGGTGACACGAAAGGTATTTCCGGGAGGACGCAGCCTCATTGATGATGATCAGTGATGAGCCTCACTGATGACAATCGACTTGAGAATGGTCCAGGACGGACCGAAACGTCGTCGTCCCTTCACCTTCTAGTATGTGGTCTGGTCAACTTACTTTAGCCACGTTATTGTGACTCCTCGCCTGTACACGAAGCCTCACCTGCTAGTCTTTAGCGAGGAGGAACTAATTAGTCGTGTTGACCACACCATACATTAGAAGGTGAAGGGACGACAACGTTTCGGTCCGTCCAGGACCATTCTCAAGTCGATTGGACCATTCTCACAATCGACTTGAGAATGGTCCAGGACAGACCGAAACGTCGTCGTCCCTTCACCTTCTAGTGTGTGGTCTGGTCAACATACTTCAGCCACGTTATTGTGACTCCTCGCCTGCACTAATTAGTCGTTTTGGTCGCATTAAACCTTCGCAGGATACTAATTAGCCAGTAATGGCAGAAAGCCTCTTGCGAAGAACTAATTAAGGAGATCGACTCATTTGCTACAACTTTAATTAAAAGATCATCCAGTATAAAAAAAAACAGCATCACATCAAAAAAGAAAATTACACAAAACTCAAGTTACCATCCGTCCATATTTTCTAGAACATGTCCTGGATTCAGGTGCCAACATTCGAGTCCGAAAAGAATTTAAAAAAAATTCTCAAAGTCCAGAATTTCAGCTTTCATCACATAAAAAAATGATCTAATTGGCTGGTTCAGTGCTAATACTACGCTTTTTTCATAATTAGTGCTGTTGTGACTGTATGAAATTGCCATTTATCATATTATTATTGGCATTTGTTATCCTTATCATGCATGTAAGGCGGTTTTGCAATTTTTCAGTAATAAATCTAGCCCCGTCTTGCTATATTATTTACCAGTATTTACACACACTACCGGCAGGGGGTGTTGTTGTTGTTGTTAAAGATTTAGCTACTCAGGACGAAGTGTCCATGTAGCACGGGCTATGGTGAGCCCGTAAACCGGCATGCAGGGGGTGGTGGGGTGGTTATGTGGTCTTCCAGCCTGTCTCGCCCCCACCCCAGTCTTGACCCAGCTCTGACACCTGACGGTGAGGGCTTGTGGCCGCTTTTACTACTTGTTATTTGTGATCTGTTGACGTTTTCCGGAACATAAACGCCCCAAACAATCCAAGTATAAAGAATTCTTTGAGAATGAAGTGAGTGAGATATACCTGTGCCATGTGCTCTTATTAATGTCTGTGTTTCATACACGGAAAGATGATGAAGATTAAGCTACCCGATTAAGGTGGAGTATTTAGGTAAGTGGAAGAAGGCAATGTAAGAGTTTTCTTGTTTGAAGTGGATGACCTTGAGTGAAATATCAAATTGGAATTTGGAGCCGTGTGTCCAGTGTTTGATAACTGGGTAGAGGTTGATTTTTTTTTTTTTTGCTGGGATATTCCTGCGCGGGCCCTAAGCCTCTGGCTGGCCCTCTGCGCGGGCCCTAATCCTCTGGCTGGCCCTCTGCGCGGGCCCTAATCCTCTGGCTGGCCCTCTGCGCGGGCCCTAAGCCTCTGGCTGGCCCACTAAGTGTTGCTTGTTTCTGTTTTACTTGGGTGGAGTATGAGTATTTATGACTCGTATGGTCGCTTCAGTAAGATTTTGCCATATGTGTTTAACAACTTCTTCTGCTCTGTTGAATCTAAGTTGAAATCTTAATGGGTTTGTAACTGTGCATAGAGGTTGATGATGTGGACGTGTAGTGTTTTGATCAAGTTAATAACTTGAAGCGTTTTCTTTTTAATTACAATAGTGATGAAGAATTCTGTAAATTGCCAGCATGGAAAAATTGATGAGCTACATTGAACAAATCAAAGAACCTTGAATGCCACTCAGATCTGCTAAGAATTGCAAAATTGTTCTTTAGCTGAAGACAGTATGACCACACCACACAGAATACTGAGACACGACACTGTTTCGGTCTATCCTGGACCATTGTAACGTCGTTCACGCGACTTGATGATCCAGGTCCAGGACGGACCGAAACGTCGTCGTCGTCCCTTCACCTTCTAGTGTGTGGTCTAGTCAACATTAGCCACGTTATTGTGACTCATCGATTGATTGATGAAGATTAAGCCACCCAAGAGGTGGCACGGGCATGAATAGCCCGTAAGTGGAGGCCCTTTTGAGCCATTACCAGTATCAATAGATGATACTGGAGATCTGTGGAGGTGCGACTGCACCCTGCGTGACGGGAGATGTCTCCCGTGTGTGACTCATCGCCTACACACGTATAATATACCTCAGTACTGTGAAATCTCTGATTATGCTGCACCTGTCATTTCTTGTTTTGGTAGACTAAAGAGGTTTTAGAAGGTACAAAATTAAGCCACGAAAGTAATCTTAGGATGCCCAAGAAACGCTATGATTCAGGTAATGAGAACGGAATTGTATTTAAAGTATTGGGGATAGAATTCCTGTGATAAATATAGCCTTGGTGATTAGACTAATGAGAGGCTTGGGAAGGTAATCAATTAATCCACTCGGTACGTTTATTGAACATAAGAACATAAGAACAAAGGTAACTGCAGAAGGCCTATTGGCCCATACGAGGCAGCTCCTATCTATAACCACCCAATTTTATTGAGACAATAAAATACATCTCAAAGGGATAGAGTAGCTTAGGCTATTTCTACATCCCTCTACTTCAAGCCCCTCCAAAAAAGTTTCAGCCCCGCTCCTGTGCCAGGTAAGCCCACTACGGGCTCACCATAGCCCGTGTTACTTGGAACTTTTAGTACCCAGTAGCTGAATCTTAAACAACAACAACAACAATCAAGTCTCTCAAGGGGCGCACAAATCCAGTGAGTACAAATCCATGCGACTCGTTACACAATGTAGGAAGATATGAACAACGTACCATGAGGTATATCAAGAGAGGATATATGAGAACTTTGTCCACCATTTGGTCACCACGGGAGACATCTCCCGTCACGCAGGGTGCAGTCGCACCTCCACACATCTCCAGTATCATCTATTGATACTGGTAATGGCTCAAAAGGGCCACCACTTATGGGCTATTCATGCCCAAGCCACCTTTTGGGTGGCTTAATCTTCTCTCTCTCTCATTTGGTCACCATTTGGTCCGGGAGACATCTCCCGTCACGCAGGGTGCAGTCGCGCCTCCACAGATCTCCAGTATCAGCTCTTGATACTGGTAATGGCTCAAAAGGGCCACCACTTACGGGTTATTCATGCCCGTGCCACCTCTTGGGTGGCTTAATCTTTATCAATCAATCGAGAACTTTGTTATTATGTTACAAAATATGATGTCGTGCAATAATGTATTCCATTGCCTAAGAAACCATCAACTCCACTATGGGAGGAATGTAACGCTCATTTGTTTTGACAAATGTGGTGATTGTGCCACTGCAAAAGAAAAAGATAATGAATGAGACGGGTCAGTTAAAAGCAATACAATTGTGCAGGCGATAAGTCACAATAACGTGGCTAAAGAATGTTGACCAGACCACACACTAGAAGGTGAAGGGACGACGACGTTTCCGTCCTGGACCATTCTCAATCGACTTGAGAATGGTCCAGGACGGACCGAAACGTCGTCGTCCCTTCACCTTCTAGTGTGTGGTATACAATACGATTGTATAATTATAATAATACCCAAATTAAACGGTGGTTAATGACGGAAGGGCCGGATTAGGGAGTATACTGACACCGGAACCGAACACATTGTTACTGGATATCGTTAAATTTCAAGGAAAGCTAAACTTCAAATTATATTTTGATTGGGGTTTCAATGAAGGGGTTAGTAGTAAATATGCTGTTTTTATTGAACGTAGAGGAGCTTTTGGAGTCATTAAATGGTATATCAACATATTTTGGTGTAAAGATTCGTCAGATTGTAAAGATTTGGGTTCGAACAAAACTTGTCAGTGAAACACTTGTTCCGGAAGTGTTCGAACGTCAACAGTTGAGTCGTGTGTAAACAGTTTTTTTAATTCACAAACAGGGGGTTTGGCGGGTGCATGGAATCACTTTTGGGTCTTTGGATTGATTGATTGATAAAGATTAAGCCACCCAAGGTGGCCCGGGCATAAATAGCCCGTAAGTGGTGGCCCTTTGAGCCATTACCAGTATCAAGAGATGATACTGGAGATCTGTGGAGGTGCGACTGCACTCTGCGTGACGGTGGATGTCTCCCGGACCAAATGGTGACCAAATGGTCGAGTCTTTGGAGGTCGGGCCGGGGAGATGTAATGGCCTTGAGTCGAGGACGAGTTGATGCTTCACATACGTATTGGAAATACAAATAATCGCCAACAGAACCTAAACACCTAACCTAACCTACGCCTAACTATACTTAGAATTTTTATGTATAATAATAATTAATGTATATATGCGAACAAACCAATTTTTAATACACAGCTAAAATTGATGAATGCGTCTGGGGAGGACGGCCGCTGCTTTAAACAGCCTAGTGTGAGGACAGGTTGGCCTGGGAGTCCCTAGTGTGCAGGTTCCAGTCCTCCTTTATCCTATTGATATCCTTATGGATACATCCAGTTAATGGGATTTCTTTGTGCATTTGAAGATGCGTTAGTGGCAGAACTCCCATTCTCTGTTAGTGACGCGTTAGTGGAAGGACTCCCACTCTCTGTTAGTGACGCGTTAGTGGAAGGACTCCCACTCTCTGTTAGTGACGCGTTAGTGGCAGAACTCCCATTCTCTGTTAGTGACGCGTTAATGGAAGGACTCCCACTCTCTGTTAGTGATGCGTTAGTGGAAGGACTCCCACTCTCTGTTAGTGACGCGTTAGTGGAAGAACTCCCACTCTCTGTTAGTGACGCGTTAGTGGAAGAACTCCCACTCTCTGTTAGTGATGCGTTAGTGGAAGAACTCCCACTCTCTGTTAGTGATGCGTTAGTGGAAGAACTCCCACTCTCTGTTAGTGACGCGTTAGTGGAAGAACTCCTGGGTCACAGCCGGAGGGAAAGAGGTATCAGTGGCAAGCGCCAAGCCCCTGAATATACCACTATATACCACAGCTGGAGTGCCTACAGGCAGTGTGAGAAACCCTGACTTGGTTTCAGTGGAAGCCTCGGGACCCCCTATAGGCTTCAGAAGAATCCACTAAGTTGCATTGCTTTTAGCATGTCGTGCTACAGTGATTTAAGGCGTGTGGTTGGGAGTACCCAGTGTGCAGGTTCGAATCCTCCCTCATGGCTCCTATTTATTTTCTTATCGTCTATCATATTTTCTATATATGGAATAAAGATTTTGGAAAATAAAGCAAATTACAAGTGACTTTAAGCTTTATTGAGGTAAATTGCAACGTCTTGTTGATTTTGTTACGTTGATATCATGCCTAGATTATAATTTTAATACATAATTACTTAGTGCTAAAACATGCAGACATAAGGTTAGCAACATTGCAGGAGCCAAAATACTTAACAGTTAACAATATGTAATGATGGTGATATACACAGTGATTGTGATAATGAGCGAAGTGGTTAATTAGCATTTGTCATGACAGCATTCCTGTCACTCTCTTCTGGGGCCTTTGGTGTCTCGTCATGCACTCTCAGCCTTGCCATGTGCACTCTGTCTCGTCCTCTAATATTCCGGCCGTTTAATTCCCTTTTAATCTACCGTTGCTGTTTCACAGTGGCCTGCCATAGTGGCTCTATCAATGCCTGCCATAGTGGCTCTATCAATACCTGTCCATAGTGGCTCTATCAATACCTGCCATAGTGGCTCTATCAATACCTGTCCATAGTGGCTCTATCAATACCTGCCATAGTGGCTCTATCAATACCTGCCATAGTGGCTCTATCAATACCTGCCATAGTGGCTCTATTAATACCTGCCATAGTGGCTCTATCAATACCTGCCATAGTGGCTCTATCAATACCTGCCATAGTGGCTCTATCAATACCTGCCATAGTGGCTCTATCAATACCTGCCATAGTGGCTCTATCAATACCTGCCATAGTGGCTCTATCAATACCTGCCATAGTGGCTCTATCAATACCTGCCATAGTGGCTCTATCAATACCTGCCATAGTGGCTCTTTCACTCCATGCCATAATGACTATCAGTCACTGCCATAGTGGTTCCATCAAACTTGGCCATTGTAGCTCCACCAGGTTCTGCAAGTGTGCTTCTAACATTGCCTGCCTCTATGGTTGTATCACCAACAAAATTAGATCATGCTCTACAATGTATCAGACACGCTAATGAAATATATATTTAGTTTAATCACTTTTATTCCTCAAAGAACATTAACCACACAGAATATAAAATATATGTACAAGAATGTGTGTGTTCTATTCAACTCCTGGTAGGGCTATTCTCCACAAACACAGGCGTAGAGTCAATTATTTCCGAGCACAATAATCCGAGCACAAGCACTCCAGTACAGAGATAAATTACAACACGTTCACAGACAAGTATTCTGTGTGGAATCATATCTGAGGCGCACCACACTTCTGGAGGCTATGGTCACACAGTAGTGACTCGAGTGTATGTACTCCAGGAAGGCCCTCACATGTGTACACACTCCAGGAAGGCCCTCACATGTGTACACACACTCCAAGAAGGTCCTCACATGTGTACACACTCACATGTGCACACACTCCAGGAAGGTCCTCACGTGTGTACACACTCCAGGAAGGCCCTCACATGTGCACACACTCCAGGAAGGTCCTCACATGTGCACACACTCCAGGAAGGTCCTCACATGTGTACACACTCCAGGAAGGTCCTCACGTGTGTACACACACTCCAGGAAGGCCCTCACATGTGTACACACTCCAGGAAGGCCCTCGCATGTGTACACACTCCAGGAAGGCCCTCGCATGTGTACACACTCCAGGAAGGCCCTCACATGTGTACACACTCCAGGAAGGCCCTCACATGTGTACACACTCCAGGAAGGCCCTCACATGTGTACACACTCCAGGAAGGCCCTCACATGTGCACACACTCCAGGAAGGCCCTCATGAGACGTAATTAGTCTCAAGACCGCTGAAGTCAACCAAGAAACAGCTCACTCTCTGGTGCACTCTCCTGTCCCAGCTCCTCGCTATCACGGAGGAAACTTTTCTCTCGGGGGATAAATGGCTCAATTATACACAAGGAATCAATGTTGTGTTGCAATTATAATATGCAACACAGTTTTTGTTCCTGGTTAGTAAGTGTTGTTTATAAATTGCTTCGTCCTCCCAGAATATGCAACGTGGGTTACATTCCCACTTGGAATGTAACCCACATTCCCACCGTGGGTTACATAAGCCATTTGTTTCGTCGACGACGACGAAACGTCGTCGTCCCTTCAATTTCTAGTGTGTGGTCTGGTCAACATACATTCCCTTAACATTTTGCTCTGACCTATGCCTGGATCAGCTTAGGGAGGACGTCCTGAAGGTTCCTTAAATGATTGATGAAGATTAAGCCACCCAAGAGGAGGCACGGGCATGAATAGCCCGTAAGTGGTAGATTTTTTTGGGAGTGTGATCTTTGGTCATGAAGGTTCCTTGAAGACTGGCGACCTGTTTAGAGCTGTGTGGCAGTGACCCAGCTCAAGATAAGGAGTCGGCAGCCCTCGGGTGCCTTCAAGACATCGTCTCTAAGCTGAGGCAAAAGTCAGAGCAAAATTTGAGATGAATAAGCCATTTTCCACACTTTAAAGGCCTAAACAATCAGAAAATAACACTACCCAGGGAAAGTATAATTGATACATCATTTCGTATTCAAGTGGAAATGTGAGACAATCATCCCATCACATGTATAATACTGCATAACCCGCAGCAAACATTACAGCTCTGTAATGAACAGCTAATGTAATGGAGTCATCGGTTGGACTCATGCCAGTTAGGTTTCAGCAGAAATAATATAAAATCTACAGTTTCTAGAGTATAATTTGATTAATGTCTTTTGATGCTGGTATTGGTCAGTCGATCCTTATCCTCGAGGATTGATGGTCCAATTGTGAGCTGGTGGACGTCTGGCCGGGGACCCCACTAGCCAGAGGGTGGGGGTCAGGTCGGAGACCCCACTAGCCAGAGGGTGGGGGTCAGGTCGGGGACCCCACTAGCCAGAGGGTGGGGGTCAGGTCGGAGACCCCACTAGCCAGAGGGTGGGGGTCAGGTCGGAGACCCCACTAGCCAGAGGGTGGGGGTCAGGTGAGGGTCAGGTCGGAGACCCCACTAGCCAGAGGGTGGGGGTCAGGTGAGGGTCAGGTCGGAGACCCCACTAGCCAGAGGGTGGGGGTCAGGTTAAGGGTCAGGTCGGGGAGGTCACCAGCCTGAGGGTAGTAGTCAAGTAGGGGTCAGGTCCAGGGATGCGTGCTACCTGCTCCCCACTCGCGACAAACACAGCTTCACTCGATCTCGCATTCGGCCGGTCACTCCGCTCTCGGCTGTAAAGAGATGCGTGTTAACCATTGCTGTAACCCTTCTCACGATATTCGTACAGTATGCAGGCGATGAGTCACAATAACGTGGCTAATGTTGACCAGACCACACACTAGAAGGTGAAGGGACGACGACGTTTCGGTCCGTCCTGGACTATTCTCAAGTCGAGAATGGTCCAGGACGGACCGAAACGTCGTCGTCCCTTTACCTTCTAGTGTGTGGTCGGGTCATCTTTGTCCAGTATGTAACACACTTAGACTACAACACTAAATTCTGCCACAAACTCACACTCTACAGAAATATATAAATATGCAATAGATTTTAAAAAAGATTGTATTCGTTTTTTTATGCCGGCATTAAGTAAAGCAAATCACTATTAACTTTAGGTGAAGCTGCTAGTGGAACCCTGAGGCATTGTTGAAATTGAAATTGAAATTGAAATAAGTTTATTGAGGTAAAATACACACAAAGGGATGAGGTAGCTCAAGCTATTCTCACCCCGTTCAGTACAACGTGTTAATATATACATAGACACACATCACAAATAAACACATTACCAAACATTCTGAGAGGTAAAAATATACATTTCCTCCTTCACAAGTAGTATGGTATCAGACGTACACACAAATTCTTTTATGACCGAGGTATACTGTATAGACAATTTAAGAGGCATTGTTGGGCGCGTCAATACTGGCTGTGATGATCCTAGATTAAATCTACACTCCAGTGAGGATTTAGTAAATAATGTGGAGTTTGTGGGAGCAAGATCAGTTTAACAGTGATCATCATCAAATTACTTGAAAATACACTTTAATATAGCCAAGTCTCTTAAAATTAAAGTGTTGATAGTAACTATTTGGTGGAAAGTACCAATATGTAGTGATGGATCACCAGAAAGTACCAATATGATCAGTGATGGACCACCAGAAAGTACCAATATGTAGTGATGGACCACCAGAAAGTACCAATATGTAGTGATGGACCACCAGAAAGTACCAATATGATCAGTGATGGACCACCAGAAAGTACCAATATGTAGTGATGGATCACCAGAAAGTACCAATATGATCAGTGATGGACCACCAGAAAGTACCAATATGTAGTGATGGACCACCAGAAAGTACCAATATGTAGTGATGGACCACCAGAAAGTACCAGTATGTAGTGATGGACCACCAGAAAGTACCCATATGTAGTGATGAACCATCAGAAAGTACCAATATGTAGTGATGGACCACCAGAAAGTACCAATATGTAGTGATGGACCACCAGAAAGTACCAGTATGTAGTGATGGACCACCAGAAAGTACCCATATGTAGTGATGGACCACCAGAAAGTACCAATATGTAGTGCTGGACCACCAGAAAGTACCAATATGTAGTGATGGACCACCAGAAAGTACCAATATGTAGTGCTGGACCACCAGAAAGTACCAATATGTAGTGATGGACCACCAGAAAGTACCAATATGTAGTGCTGGACCACCAGAAAGTACCAATATGTAGTGATGGACCACCAGAAAGTACCAATATGTAGTGATGGACCACCAGAAAGTACCAATATGTAGTGATGGACCACCAGAAAGTACCAATATGTAGTGATGGACCACCAGAAAGTACCAATATGTAGTGATGGACCACCAGAAAGTACCAATATGTAGTGCTGGACCACCAGAAAGTACCAATATGTAGTGCTGGACCACCAGAAAGTACCCATATGTAGTGCTGGACCACCAGAAAGTACCAATATGTAGTGATGGACCACCAGAAAGTACCCATATGTAGTGATGGACCACCAGAAAGTACCAATATGTAGTGCTGGACCACCAGAAAGTTAACTTTTGTGTCACTGAGTTTGGAAACCTTTGTATAACTGCAACATATATATAAGACTTAACCTTACCTTTCCTAGCAATCCTGGATCTAATCCACGATATCTTAGTCAAACTATTTTAATACACCTGGTATTTCTTTCTAACAATAACTGAAGTCATTACAAGACTGACATCGGCTGATAATACACAGTTCCTAGTGTTCTAGATGATCCAAATGATTTTGAATCGAACAAATCCACAAGGGCCGTGACGAGGATTCGAACCTGCCAATATCCTCGTCACGGCCCTTGTGGATTTGTTCATTTGATGCATCACGTTAGTGTGATCTCTGTGTGTGATTTTGAATCGATACAACTACGTTAAAGGAAAGAATACATATATATTGATCAATTTCACACACCTTAGGGAAAGGTTCTCTATGTTGACGAGGGTGAGTTTGGAGAGAGGAGGGAGGTCGGCGTCGCAGGTGGGACAAAGGTGGTCACCTTTGGCCGTCCAGGTGAGCTTAGCGGACACACTGGAGCTCAGATCCTCCCCGTGTTCCAACAGGAAGCTGTACCTCTTCCCAGGCTCGAAGCTTTGCCAATACCTAAAGCCACAAAAATTTGTATAAGCGTTTAAATCTGAGTAAATTATTAAGAGATAACATTTTACAACTAAAAGCACATGCACTTAGTTGACCAGACCACACACTAGAAGGTGAAGGGACGACGACGTTTCGGTCCGTCCTGGACCATTCTCGAGTCGAAACGTCGTCGTTTCGGTCCGTTCTGGACCATTCTCAAGTCGAAATGTCGTCGTTTCGGTCCGTTCTGGACCATTCTCAAGTCGAAACGTCGTCGTCCCTTCACCTTCTAGTGTGTGGTCTGGTCAACCTTGTGGATTTGTTCATATGATGCATCACGCTATTGTGATGTCTGCGTGTAAAGAACATTCATATTTCATCGAGACTTACCCAGTTGTAAGGCTGAAATGCGAGGAATGTCCGGTGCTGGAGAGGAAGATGATGGTGAGGCGGCCCGGCATGGTCCCCCACGGTGTCTGCGACAGCTCCAGCGTCAGTAGGAAGTGGTACACTGGAACACAAGAAGCAGACGGTTATCTTGAGATGATTTCGGGTCTTAACGCCTCCGCGGCCCGGTTCTCGACCAGTCTTTTTTGTTACACACCCCCAGGAAGCAGCCCGTAGCAGCTGTCTAACTCCCAGTTACCTATTTACTGCTAGGTGAACAGTGTATCAAGATGAAAGAAACTCTGTCCATTTGTTTTCGCCTCTGCCGGGGATAGAACCCGGAATCTCAGGACTACGAATATGAAGCGCTGTTCACTCAGCTGGCAGGCCCCATAACAGGGCAAGGTCGGTACAGGTTGGTATAACACAACACGGTCGATACAGGTCGGTACAGGTCGGTACAGGTCGGTACAGATCGGTGTATAATATAACAAGGTCGGTACAGGACAAGTATCATGAGTGGTACAGTGAACCCCCTCGGGACTTAACATGATTGGTGTCATGGGTGGTATCTACGAGTCACCATCTCTACGTCAAGTCTAATCCTGGACGTGTAATCACGAATACGTCAGTTTTTGTGCTTACATTATCTTTTTAAGACTTGGCGAAGTCTGTCCCTCCTGACGGGAGACATCTCCCGTCACGCAGGGTGCAGTCGCACCTACGCAGGTCTCCAGTATCATCTATTGATACTAATAATGGCTCAAAAGGGCCACCACTTACGGGCTATTCATGCCCGTGCCACCTTTTGGGTGGCTTAATCTTCATTAATCAATCAATCTTTCCCTCCTGCTTTCCAGAGCTGGCCGTGGAACAATGCAGGTGGTTCACAAATCCAAGGGGTCTGAGTTCGATTCCGAGGTAGGTGCCTCTGTTCACCTAGTAATAAACAGGGACTTGGGAGTTAAGCAATTAGGGATGCTAGTGAGGAGTCACTCACATGTCACTAAAGTCAAAGAACTAATATGTTACCAGCTACCTCTTACCGACCTCGGGTTCGGGGTTGCCTACCCAGAGATCACGTATTCAGGGCTGCTCATCCAGTTTTTGTCCAAATTAGTAAACGTATGTATCGAATATATCTATTAATGAACAAGATAATCTACTTAGAAAGCGCGACAACTATACACATACACACACACACAGTGTACAGGACCATTTGGTCACCATTTGGTCCGGGAGACATCCCCTGTCACGCAGGGTGCAGTTGCGCCTCCACAGATCTCCAGTATCATCTCTTGATACTGGTAATGGCTCCAAAGGGCCACCACTTACGAGCTATTCATGCCCGTGCCACCTTTTGGGTGGCTTAATCTTCATCAATCATCATCACAGTGTACCAGAGGTCATGACCTCTTCGTAGGGTGCAGTCGCACCTCCACAGATCTCCAGTATCAGCTCTTGATACTGGTAATGGCTCCAAAGGGCCACCACTAACGGGCTATTCATGCCCGTGCCACCTTTTGGGTAGCTTAATCTTAATCAATCAGTGTATCATCAGTACAGTTGTCACCATTGCATCGGGCACCTAGCTGGTTCCCGGGGTGAGAGCCAAAAGCTTTCTCAGCGATCTGGGTTCTAGACTCGTCGAAACAACAAGAGACCAAAGAGCTGCCAGCTACATTCACATAATTTTCACTATGGCAATACAGAGCTGAAGCTCAACCCTGCAAGCACAATTAGGCGAGTACATGAGAAAAGCACACATTGTAGTCTATATATTCTCCCCCTGACCCACTGACCGTAACCAAGGTAGCTCAAGATTTGCAATTTCTGGAAACATATTTAGCATCTTTTTACTTGCCAATACTGCATAACAGTTTGAAATAAAATATAAAAATCAGGTGGGTGGCAGGAGAAGAAAATGCACACATGCATATATGTTGACCAGACCACACACTAGAAGTTGAAGGGACGACGACGTTTCGGTCCGTCCTGGATCATTCTCAAGTCGATTGAGACAATCGACGTCCCTTCAACTTCTAGTGTGTGGTCTGGCCAACATACTTCAGCCACGTTATTGTGACTCATCGCCTGCACTTGCATATATATATGGAAGCCATACCCCTAGAATGTCGTATGTTGTTGTTCTCCGAGGCTACGGGTCCTCACCAACATAAAAGTGATTTAAACACAAAAATCAGGTATACTCACAGCAAAAATGGGGGTCTGGGCCGGTGGAGAGGTAGAGCTGGAGGCCGACCGCTCCTCTGCTAGCCCAGGTGTCTGCGTGGATGCCCATGGGAGCGCACCTACTGCCGTCCTCCCCACAGTTGAAGCACTCTCCCTGCCGCCACACATACAAAACATTATACAAGGCTCTCTAAACGTGGCGTCTATATGCCCGGTATCGCAATAAACATGGTCTTGAATCTTCATGGGAGTGACCTCGGGCATGCAAAATACAAATCGGCTTCTCTACCAACTTGGCCAGAATGCCTACTATAAGAATGACATTCTAGCCTATCGTACATAATTTGGGATTTAAACCCCTTCCTGAAGCACAACGGCGATAACTGGGAGTTTATAATTTAAATTCTAGTTAGGGACTTTCTGTGAAGCCCCGTAGAGCACTCTGGCCTATCTGGCAGTTTTTTTTTTATTTTAGTGACCCGAGATGAACCCAGCCATGAGACATAGGCCTATTCTAAATTAAGGAGAGCTTTTTTCTCATTATTGGAAGTCTAAATCTGAGCTCTTATAGAGCTCTCTATAACGAGCGGGTTTATTTCATGGGGTCTAACGTGAGGGATCAGAATGTTCACAGTAAACATATATACACAAACTTTGAGTCATGTAAATCCCTTAAATTCACGAGAAATATGAAAATTAAATACAAAAATATTGTAAAATTAAAGTTAGATTATAAAAAAAACACATACCACTATACTCGTAGTTTTCAAAAATGGCTTTAAAGAATCGATAAGAATGTGAGAATTTCCATCGACCGATGAGAATTTCAGATTTATTATAACTCCTCGATCACAGATCACTCGGCCGCAATGTGTGTTTGTGTACGAGGGACGGAATATAATACTCACAGCTCGGTACTGTTGGTAGGACTGGCAGGCGAAGGCGGTGTAGGGGCATTGAGAGACGATGGAGTCGGCGAAGAGCAGCGAGGACCTGATGTGGCTACATCCAAGGGCGTCCTCAACAGCGTGCCAGGCTGAAATATATATATACAGCTTCACAATTTTTGTTTTTTGAATCTCCAAGATAAAGTTTTCAAGTCTCGTTGGTAAAGAATAAAAAAAAAGGTGGTCCAAAAATATGCCAAAATGGCCATTTAGCTGCAAAAGTAATTACATACATATTATTATCATGAATTTTCTGTTTATTGTACATGGGCATTTTTTTAGGAACATGCTGCTTTCATTAATTTGATGCAGTTCAATAATTGGACTTTTGCCTTCAGATTTCAGTCAGAATCCACATAGCAGCGTGTCAGATGCTCTGAAACAACACTAAATACACATAATTTTTTCACGTCTGATGCATCACATATGCTGATCTAGTGACGTGAGGCTACTGCGGTGGCTAGTGACGTGAGGCTACTGCGGTGGCTAGTGATGCGAGGCTACTGTGGTGCCTAGTGACGCGAGGCTACTGTGGTGCCTAGTGACGCGAGGCTACTGTGGTGGCTAGTAACGCGAGGCTATTGTGGTGGCTAGTGACGCGAGGCTACTGCGGTGCCTAGTGACGCGAGGCTACTGTGGTGACTAGTAACGCGAGGCTATTGTGGTGGCTAGTGACGCGAGGCTACTGCGGTGGCTAGTATCGTGAGACTACTGAGCCCACAGTCTCCTGGGATAATGAACTCACCTCTGGTGAAGTTTCTCCCGGTGAGGAGCCACCTGAGAGGCGCGGTGAGGGGGGGCTGGCACCCCGGCTGGTACTTGCCGTCGTTGGGGTAGAAGTCCAGGTGCCCAGATGGCTCCCTTAGTCCATACCCACCATCTGTAACACACAACATCTTTAGAACACAACATTTTAAGAAACTACCGGGAGGGGGTTCGAAAACAATTGTCTTGTATGGAAAATCGAATACAAGATATTGTTTTCAAGTTCTAAGCTAGTATGACTATGTAACACATGAAAGGAATATGTAATCTTGGAGCAAAAGTCTATAGAGAGTCTTTGCGGTGACATGTTTAGGGACTTTAAGGAATGCTTTGTTAGAAATGTTTTTGTTGGTGCATTGCATTATAGAATATAGTAGAATACGAATTGCTTCGTGGACCAAAGAACTATTTCCTTGATCGTCGAAAACTTGTAACCAAGATTTTCCTTAAACTTACCGAAGGAAAACAGGGAAGAGTCGGTGTGGATGACGTCGACAAAGAGGGCGTCCGAGGGGTCCAGACGAACACTGGCCGGCATGTGTTGGAAGTAAGGCTGGGCCGGGTCCAGTCCGGTGATCCTTCCTAGTCCGGACACTCGCTCCCCGGCGTACCCTGAGGAAAGTTTATGTTCGATTAGTCCCAGCAGTGAAAGGCTACACTGTTGCACCCGAAGTCTTCCAGGCGGAAATCCTTTAAACATTTGCTAATTAAAAACCCCTAACATATGCAGCATCCTAGTATTACAAAGCCACCAAACAGATAAGTGTAAATTCAAACACAATTTCTAATGAAATTCAAATATTCAAATATATAACAAGCCAAGCTAAAGAGGCACCTACCGGAGACATGGGCGCCCAGAGAATGGCCAATTAGGTGTACATCTTGTGGACTGTGGCCCGTGTGGTCCTGGAGCCAGTGGATGAGGTGGGCCACTTCCAGGCCGGCCACCCGGGCGTTGGCCACAGCCTGCTCGTACAGCCCCAACGACCCGTCAGTCCAGTCCATCATCACCACGTTGTAGTCATTGACCCGCAGGAAGGCGTGAGCGATCACCTGAACAAGAAAAAACTATTTGTCAGTACAGGATACAATTAAAAGAGAATTTGAGTTAGAGGAGAATCGTGTTCAATGCTATGATGAGAGATGCACCTTAATGGTGACATATTACGATGCAGTGATCTCTAGGACACTGTTATTGGTAGGAAGTGTTAGGTTTGGTCCCCATAATTCATACATGAAAGCAAGATGAAACAGATATATATTGTTTGTTGTATTCATTAGTTGGTTAGGTTAGGTGGGATGTTTGGGTTTCTGCGCTTCTAGCTAGGTTCGAACGCTGGATCTTGTACGTTGTGGCAAATCGAGAGAACGTGCTGATTAATCAACTTTAAATTTGTAACCGAACAAGCCTATACTCGCCTCTAACCAAGGCATATCTCGGCCATTGAGGTAGCCGTGGATAATTATTTTGGTCTTCCTGTTAGGCTTGAAAGAGGACTTGAGAATCTGCTGGAGATCCAGAGCAGACACCAGCACGCCCTCCGGGTCCTCCCTAGACTGCACTGAGAACGTCACATGCAGAGACTCCCGAGGCTCCGGCTGGAGGTTGAGCGGCCGGTACTGCTGGTCGTAGAAGTCAGCGCCGGTCTCCAGACACCCAAGCTCCCCGAAGCAGTAGCGCTCCGCTGACTCTGTGCCAGAGGAAAACATATAAGCAAAATATAATTCATTGTCTAAAGGCGAAGTAGGGACAATAATTCCATTCACCTGGGCTATATGGGTCTCGAACCGTGGACTGTGAGGACTGTTTGCCTGTGAAGCCGAAGCTCCAACGACTAGGCTATGAGTAGTCTTTAAAAAGGAAAGTTTTTAGGGACAATAATAAGTTTGATCTAGTTAACAACTGAATGGGTTTACCGGCTTGACACATAGCCTCATCCTAGGATAAAGACCCCAACATTCTTCCTCTTCCTTGGAAGGTATACAATGACCCATTTACCTATTCTACATAAATCCCATTATATATATACTCTGTTTTCAAAGTTTGTGCCGAGGTAAGTACCATTGTAGGACTGGTGAGGGAATTTGGTGGGTGACGGGGTGAGGGAAGACGGGGTCTTGAGGGCGCGTCCAAGGGCTGGAAGATCGAACACCACCCGCTCCAGCAGGTTCAACAGTGTCTGCGTGGCGGCGGGAACAACCAGCAGTACTGCTGTCAACACCACCGCTCGACACACCGTCCGGCTCACTCCTCCTGCAACACATCAAAATAGGATTAGTGTGTGAGTTTAGTAATTGCATTATGGTAATACCCCGTGAATTTATGTTGTATAGATAAATGTAAAATAAATTATGATGGACAGTTGCTTAGTGGTACATATAATGGTACCTAAGTGCTGCACAGTGTTATTCTGTCTTCCAGGTGAATTAGGTGGGCTTTGATAAGCCTTAGTAGCCCAGGCTTTGGCTTTGATAGTAGCCAAGGCTTTGATAAGCCTTAGTAGTATGCCCAGTAGCTGAAACTTGATTCCCCCCCCCCCCAGATACAGCTAGCGAGGTATGCACACACATACACACACACACACACACACACACACACACACACACACACACACACACACACACACACACACACACACACACGCACAAGGGGACACAGGTGGAAACTGAGTGCCCAAATGAGCCACAGAGATATTAGAAAGAACTTTTTTAGTGTCAGAGTGGTTGACAAATGGAATGCATTAGGGGGTGATGTGGTGGAGGCTGACTCCATACACAGTTTCAAGTGTAGATATGACAGAGCCCGATAGGCTCAGGAATCTGTACACCTGTTGATTGACGGTTGAGAGGCGGGACCAAAGAGCCAGAGCTCAACCCCCGCAAACACAACTAGGTGAGTACAACTAGGTGAGTACACACACACACACACACACCATCATACGTATATAATATATTTCCAAAGGTAAATGTCGCAGCATTTTTCCTTATGGATCAATCATATGTTCAGATCGTCATAAAACATGAAATTACATATTGAAAACATTCCTTGTGTGTCGACTCCTATGTATCCGGTGCTTCGTTAATGACCACATGACGAGGCGGTTATAATATAATACTGGGGGTGGAGGCAGAGGAAGCGACGAAGGCCACTATGACACTGCATGCCAACCCGTCCTCCTAACACAACGTCACATTTTGACGTATACTCTAAGGTTAAAAATCGTCGTACTAGAAAATGAAAGCGGGTTCGTGAAATTGACAAACTGTTCTGTTTTCTGTTTTGGATCCTCTGCTAGGTTAGGATAAAGGTACTTTAGTACAACAGTTTCCTGACGCAGGCGATGAGTCACAATAACGTGGCTGAAGTATGTTGACCAGACCACACACTAGAAATTGAAGGGACGACGACGTTTCGGTCCGTCCTGGACCATTCTCAAGTCGATTGTGTTTCAGTTTCCTGACGTTTGGGGTACCTTAGGAGGACGGGCTGAGGCAGCACACGGGGGAAGGGGTACTATACGCAGGTGTCTGGGACCAGAAGACACGTACCAGACTCGAGCAGCAGACGGGAGCCGACAAGGAAGCCGCCTCTTCCTGGCGACGGTGACAACACCACCCACGGGACGTCTTCACCTGAAGGTCATTACGTCCACAAATACAGCTCCCTCCTCCAGCATATTGTAAACAAACACCTCAACACAGCATACTCCTCGGACCAAGTACTATATCAAACACGGCCTTGATGGAAAATAACCACCCATATGAATCAAAGGAAATATTACGACGACCTTGTTCAAGCACTGAATAGATGAAACGAGCTGGGAAGGACAGGCTCAACGCCCGGGCTTGGGACCGCAGTCCAGCGAGAGACGAGAGGCGGCACCCAAGAACTAAGCAGCACACACACAGAATCCTTTCTTCCATCATCTCTGCCTCCCCAGTACCGTTCCCTGCATCTCTCTGGACGTCACGTCCTCTACGACACAGGGTGGGGACCAACTAGGGAGCAGGAGACACAGGTGTCCAGCACCTGAGCTTGGTGACCTCGTCAGGTGAAGACATCTGATCAACGATTTCCGTCACTGACCGCCGGAACCAAGGCTGAATGTTTGTATGTATGGGAGAGATGGGGGGACTAGGCGCCTCACCTGCAAATTACACACGAGACACTCGGCCCCCATGACAGGAGAGCTCCTTGCTACCCGTCAAGCTCCTTAAGGTAACCTTTGTTTACCTCAAGGAGCTCCAGAGAATTAACGTCCTCGCAGCCACGGCCTCTAGCGGGCTTGAGCCGGCTACGCAGTGTGGGACTTAATAACAACCCTGGGACCAGCTCTGTGCAGGTAGCTGCTGACCTTTCTTGGGCTAACTGTAACTTCACTCACCTGGTGATAGTCACCAGGGCACGTAGTGAGTCGCCACGACACGTGGTGAGTTATGAGGACGCGTGGTGAGTTACGAGGACACGTGGTGAGTTACGAGGACGCGTGGTAAGTTACGAGGACACGTGGTGAGTTATGAGGACGCGTGGTGAGTTACGAGGACGCGTGGTGAGTTACGAGGACGCGTGGTGAGTTACCAGAACACGTGGTTGAAGCCATCAACACAGCCACTCTCCCTGTCAAAAAAGATGACCGGCAGGTGAACACCCTCATAAAGACTGTCAAGCAGTATGAGGGTGCCGCGATAACAGCTTGACGATTAAATGCAACCTCAGAATACTGAAAAGAATTACTGAACAAAAAATTGTACCACTTACGGGCTATTCATGTCCGTGCCATCTCTTGGGTGGCTTAATCTTTATCAATCAATCATCAACAGTGAACAGGGCACCGCTCCTGTGCCAGATAAGTCCACTACGGGCACACCATAGCCCGCGCTACTTGCCCCGCTCCTGTGCCAGGTAAGTCCACTACGGGCTCACCATAGCCCGCGCTACTTGCCCCGCTCCTGTGCCAGGTAAGTCCACTACGGGCTCACCATAGCCCGCGCTACTTGCCCCGCTCCTGTGCCAGGTAAGTCCACTACGGGCTCACCATAGCCCGCGCTACTTGCCCCGCTCCTGTGCCAGGTAAGTCCACTACGGGCTCACCATAGCCCGCGCTACTTGCCCCGCTCCTGTGCCAGGTAAGTCCACTACGGGTTCACCATAGCCCGCGCTACTTGCCCCGCTCCTGTGCCAGGTGAGTCCACTACAGGCTCACCATAGCCCGCGCTACTTGCCCCGCTCCTGTGCCAGGTAAGTCCACTACGGGCTCACCATAGCCCGCGCTACTTGCCCCGCTCCTGTGCCAGGTAAGTCCACTATGGGCTCACCATAGCCCGCGCTACTTGCCCCGCTCCTGTGCCAGGTAAGTCCACTACGGGCTCACCATAGCCCGCGCTACTTGCCCCGCTCCTGTGCCAGGTAAGTCCACTACGGGCTCACCATAGCCCGCGCTACTTGCCCCGCTCCAGTGCCAGGTAAGTCCACTACGGGCTCACCATAGCCCGCGCTACTTGCCCTGCTCCTGTGCCAGGTAAGTCCACTACGGGCTCACCATAGCCCGCGCTACTTGGAACTTGTTCCGAGTAGCTGAATTTATAACATGCAGTAAACAATACGCTAAAATGAATTATTGCAAGGAAAACACACCCTACACTGAACAGTACTCTACGAGGTCCAATAGATCTTCTCACGTTTTGTGATTATAATGTAAATATGATTATTTAGTAATTAGATCAATACTGTTTTACACATCACACGTGTTAACATGAAATCACAGGTGTTTTAACGCTGCAACATTACAGGTGTTAAACACTGAATCATCACATGCGTTTAGCTTTAACTTCACAGGTGTTTAGCAGTACAAGATCGCAGCTGTTTAGCACTACAGCATCACCGTTATTTAACATGACAAGTCACAGGTGCTTAACACGACAACATCACAGGTATTTAACACATCACACTTTAAAATAACATCACAGGTATTTCCCACATCACAGGTATTTTCCAGAACATCACAAGTGTTTAATACTGTATCTCGTTTAACACAATCGGACGCGCAATCCAAGCACCACAACTAACCAAACATACCACTGGACACACGACTCATCTCAGACGACGGGTCAAACCTGTTACATACCTGCCATGTGTGTATATATATGTGTCTTGCAGCGCAGCCTCGCCTCTACTAAGTAGCTATACTGTTCCTTGCCACGATCCTGCCTCCTTGACGGCCGGCCTTGGTCTGTCCCAATGTCTTGACGGGCTAGGTACCTGTACTCCGCCTTCCTAGACCCTCACCACCTCATCTCATTGAGATCACGAGTTCATAGTAAGATAATCACGTGGGAGATCTACCCCCGGAAGAGATTACGGCCCGGAATAAGCCTTGGCGTACTGCGTGAGTGGAATCTGCGGGGTAGAAATAGCCTAGGCTACTCTATCCCTTTGAGATGTATTTCTTTCTTATCTCAATAAACATACTTGAACTTGAACTTGTGAGTGGAATGAGTGTACTGGTAGTTGTACTTACTGTACAGCTTTAGAGTTGTTTAAGATTCAGCTTCTAGGGACAAAAAGTGCCAAGTAGCACGGGCTATGGTGAGCCCGTAGTTACTTGGCACAGGAGCGGGGCTGTAACTTGTTCCAGCTTTGGAGTATTACGTGGTGTACTTATTCGCAGAGTTCATAAGTACTATAAATAACTGGACAGGTACATAAGTACTCTTCAATTATTTATCAATATTTTTGTTCTGGGGTTGCAAAGTTTAACAAAACAAATCTATATACCTTTCACTGTCCCCTAAGGAGAGGTTTAGAGGTCTGTCAGGGTACATAGAGTGGATCGAATTATCCATCAACTCCTCAACCACAGAAGGGGGTTCTAGTTATTTCATAATATCAAATTTCATAAGAACATAAGAACAAAGGCAACTGCAGAAGGCCTATTGGCCCATACGAGGCAGCTCCTATCTATAACCACCCAATCCCACTCATATAAGAACAAAGGTAACTGCAGAAGGCCTATTGGCCCATACGAGGCAGCTCCTATTCTATAACCACCCAATCCCACTCATATACTTGTCCAACCCGCGCTTGAAACAATCGAGGGACCCCACCTCCAGCACGTTACACGGTAATTGGTTCCACAAATCAACAACCCTGTTACTGAACCAGTATTTACCCAAGTCTTTCCTAAATCTAAACTTATCCAATTTATACCCATTGTTTCGTGTTCTGTCTTGTGTTGATACTTTTAATACCCTATT